AAAAAAAAAAAAAAAAGGAAAATAAAGCAAGGAAAAGAAGACTAAAGTACAAATTTATAAAAAAAATATTTTCGTTTTTCTAAACATACTTTATTAGTTAAGGGTAATGATTTGCAGGCAATAATTGAATAGTCAATTAATTGAACAGTTCATATATACTAATCATGTTGACTCTAAGAAATCAACCCTCTTCATGGCGTGCTTTGGATCATAATATATTAATATCATATTGTTACTATAAATAAACCAAAAGTTTGGTATTTGAATATATATTAAGGATAGCAGGTCAAATGAATGGCTACATATATAAATAATTAAATATTTAATTATCTATAATTCAACACCGAACACTCAAATAGAAATAATTCTTTCAAATTTGTAATGAAGAGTTCTGACATTTCGTTCGTATCATAGAAATAACTTGTCTATAATTTTTGCGGTGACAATATGTCTTTAAGAAAATAAATACGTGTTCCAATGCCTAAATCTTTTTGGTGTTCTAAGAGTGAGACAATATGATCAAGAAAAGTGATATGCAACATTTCCTTAAGAAAATAATGATGGGCGAAATACTTGATTTTATAATGAAAATAACTCGTCTCTAATTTTTGTGAAGCAATATTATTCACACACACACACAAAATACAAACCTCGATGTCCAAATCTTTCTACATTAAGAAAGAGTGACACATTATTTTTAAAAAGTGAATAATGCTTCCTAAGTGTAAATCTTTTCTATGTTAAAATAGATAGGAATGATTATAATTAAAAAAATAGTGACATGCAAAATGTTTATCTGTCATGCTCCAAAGTTTATTATTTGGTGTGTCCGACATTAATTAGATTGAACATGACCAAACATAAATACTAAAAATAATGTGTGAAATGTTTGTTGATACTATGTGCTCATGTTCTAATAGCACAAATTTAAGTGCAAACCAACTACAATACACATGTAATAACAATAAAAAGTCAAGGCAAGCCTACCTACTGTTGAAATAATTGAGTTGAAGCAAAATAGGGCACGCATTTTTTTTTTAGACAAAAAACATGTGCGCTACATACAGGGACGGATTCAAGATAGGATTACAAGTTCGGCTAATACGTAAAAAAAAAAATGAAATTACACAAGAAAAATTTTTTTTACATAATTTTTTTTTGGGAAAAATTCACTTTCCCTACTTTATCTTTACCCTATTTCAAAAATAACAAAACAACTTTTACATTTTACAAATCAGAAATTTTGACTTATACATACACATTTATATAAATATTTATTTATACATATAAATAAATAAAAAAATGTATAAAATATATATATATATATGTATAAAATCAATCCACCACCACCCCCACCACCCCACCACGCCGGCGACCGCTCCGGCGACGTCTCCAATTCCGACGACTTCTTCGGCGACCACTCCGATTCCGACGACTATTCCGATGACATCATTTTTCGTACGGTCACNTGGCTCAGGTCACAGTTTTGTTCATAGTCCCATTTTATTTTCAAATGACTCAGATTCTTATTGATAGTCACAAGTTTATTTCAAATGGCCACAGCACAGGTCACATAATATTTTTTTGGGCATGGCTCAGGTTTTTATTGATAGTCACGGCATAGGTCACAGTATATGGCTCAGGTCACAGCACATGGCTCAGGTCACAACATTGGTCACATCACAGCCACCACGGCAAAAACCGCAACAAAACATGCCGACTAATCACCACAAAACCCATTGCACAACGCCACAAGCCATCATAGAAACATCCACACAAAACCACCGCCAACCGCACGCACAACCACCAACCACATTCCACAACCACCACAAAACACACTGCACAACGCCGCAAACCACCATATAAACATCCACACACAAACACATCTCGCAACCCCACTCCACTCCATGCGGTGCCACCACCATCTAATACCAATGGCACCTCCACCACAAAACACCGTCCACACTACCACCAAGAAATTCCGATGCACCACCACACCGTACCCACAACACCACCATTGGCAAAACAACCACCATTTTCAACCACTACTTTACAGACCAACCACATCACATCGCACTGCACACATCCACTACTTCACAGACCAACCACATCACAGTCGAGTGCAGCAACCCGTCGAGTGCAAATCGCAAATCGCAGCGTGCGACTGCAAAAATCCACCATAAATCCTGTACGTACACATTATCGGAGGTCAATAAGAGGTAAACTCCGCTCTTAGGGTTGATCGGAAGTGGCTGGGTGGTGGCAGAGACGACGGGTTTTATCACTGACTGGAGCGAAAGTCGAGTTAGGGATTTTCCATGGGAGTAAATCCGTGTATAGTCTAACAGTTTTCCACCACCCCGAAACCGACGGCGGCTTAGAGTCCACGGTGGAGAATGAACTGATGGGTCGAACACTACAGCGGGCGAGGCGAGGAGGAGACGGCGGCGGCAACGATTTCAAATCGGTTTTGAGAGAGACGGGGTGAGTTAGGGATTGATAATGAATTTTAGGGGTGGGGTAGGTGTATATAATTTAATTTTTTATAATATTACTATTAATATTTAATTAAATATAAAAAACATGTATCTATATATAAAAATATCTGATTTTTGAAGAAAAAAACATGAAATCTGATTTTTGAACTTGGATCTTGAAAAGTAGGGCTCCATGTAATTTCCACTTTTTTTTTTCTACTAAAAAAAATCAATGGGCAGGGGCCTGGACCGGGCTCCGTCCCTAGCCCCTGTTAGGTCAGTACATTAAAATTTAAGTCAAAGTAAACAATTAATTTTAACTGCATATTGTACAAGATCAATGACTTTTCGATTACATATTCCTTCCAACTTTTATTAATAATCTACTAAAAATCTAATTTTTAAATAAATCAATCGGGGCTAAATTTATTAAATCATCTAACCATTTTGGTTAGAGAATCAATTTGATGTAGTTAATAAGCACAAAATTGGTTGAAAGAGTTTTGTCTAAAATTGTTCAAACGTCATTTATGTGGGCCTGAATATAGATAATTTGTCAACCCTAACTTCTATTGCAGGAAGTAATGTGAATAGCAATTACTTGTTCTCACAGAAAACGGCCCCCTACTCCCTTTTGTCCATATAAATGACACGAGGATCAACCATAAATGAATACCTTCTTTACAATATTTCAACCATTTTTGTTTCTTGTCTTTTTACTATATATATAGGCCCCGTTCGGGAGGGATTAAAAGTCAATTAAAATTGAAAATATGATCGTTATTGGACCCCACTCGTCTAATAAAAGTCAACAATAACGGTTATATTTTCAATTTTAATCTGATTTTAATCCCTCCCACACAAGCCCATAGTATTTATAAGACAACCCATCCAAGAAGAAAAGACAAGTTTCCTTCAACCCTAGATTTATTTCCTTAATTTCTTCATCCATCAGCGGAAACAAACATTCATTCCTTAATTCAAGAAGTTTGGACATGTTTTCTTAAAACCTATATTTAACGTTTGCAGTTAAGGTAGCGTGATGTGATAAACTCAATGAAAAGTACAATTAAGTGAGGTATTTAATTGTAATTCTCCTTTAATGCCGCCTAAACTGGTGTTTAGGATTACTCTTAACGTTTTGAATAGATGAAAAAAACTTTCTTTTTTTTTTTTCTGGGGTTTATGGGGTTGAGGATTTCTGCTGGATCCTTGAGATTATCATTTCATTGATTTTTGAAGATGGAAAATATGTGTATATGAACTGTTTTGTCTCCTACCTACCATCACTAGTAATTTTGTGGAAATCGTCTAGAGATTAGGCACATGCTACCTTCTCCTTCCATCATTATAATCATCTCTTAATTATGTATTAAATCAAATAAACAATAAGATTATGAAACATAACCACCCTTCATACTGTTTTATATGTTTGTACATACTTATCCTATCAATATATGTACATTTCCATAAGATCAAGTCACCAAGGGACATGCCCCAAAAGTGAAAAAAAAAGAAGACAAAGCATGCTATTTCGTGCACGCTTCGTGGATATAATGTTCAGGTGTTCTAATCACACATTGAGAATAAAATTTAAATAATATCTATATATTTATAATTGAAGTGGTTTAATATAATATTAGAGCAACACTTTTCGACAGTCTTTCGTCACTTAGATATGTAAAGAATAGGTAGAGATGAAAATGGATATTTAAGGGGAGAATAGATATCATATAACTTAACAGAAATTATCTGATATTACAATTTCAATTTAGATACGCTAAGTGTCATTAAATGAATTACATAATTTCACATTCATTTAATACCACATACACGGATACTCTTAACGCTAGATAACATTATTCAAAATTATTAGTCAAATACCAACATTTTTCAATTTTTATTTAAAAGAATAAAGTAAAGCTAAGAATATATTTTAATATAAATAACTATCCTCTGAAATTTTACTCATATTAGCATACATTGCATATTGTAAAAGTCAATGGCTTAAATCTTGTCCTTTCGGTTTCCCAAAAGAGTTGAAATTCTGTGTCTACTTCATTACATATCATTGCACGTTCTCAAATAAAATAATTATAACTGTAGCAATTTAGCATACACGTTATCTTAATTTCTATTGACCAGAATCACCAGTACATCAAATTCTAGATTTTCATTCTTGGCAGAACATGCTCAAACAATTAGGACATGTTGTCTTTACCGGTCATTTTTAATTTTCAGTTTTCAAAAATACTGAAAATATGTGTATTTACCTATTTTCAAAAACGAATTTCCAAAAACGAGTTTAAAATTTACAAAGAAAACGGAAAATACCAAAAAAATCGTTTTGGCTGTTTTCAATTAAAACCAAACCAAAACTTTATTTTTTATTTTTCAAAATGACAAAAAGAAAAAATACCAAAAAAAATCGTTTTGACTGTTTTCAGTTAAAATCAAACCAAAACTTCATTTTTTTATTTTTGAAAATAATTTTTCCAAATGACAAAAAGAATACGTTTTCGATAATCTCAAAATAGACACTTAAAACACAGAATTCAAAATGAATTCAAGACTCAAAACTAAAAATTGAAACACGAAGAGAACAACCCCTCAGAGTTTCACAGAAATTTCACAACATATAAAAAAATAAGAGAGATTGAGACAATCCTGCATAATCTAGACAGACTAATTATACGGCTAAAGATGGAGACAAGGAATGAACACCTGGTAGTTAACCATCTTGTGACTAGACTATCAACAATTTGCTTTACTCGATAAGCAACCGATTTATTAAATTAATATCGTAACCTTACATCAACGTTTGTGTCATCCTCATAATCGGCATCACTATTATGAAAAGAACGATCATTATAATCATTCTCGTCCAATGCATCATCATCGTCAGAAATATCAGAAATAGCGTTAAGAGTCTTGTGCGAATTCCAGTCGGGAGGGAAAGTCTTCTGAAGGGCTTCTGTTATCCCGCCACCTGTCCTTTCAATCTTGCGCAGGCACTTGGACCAGTGAACTGCAGTCCCCATGTCAACCGTTAACCCACATTCCACCATCTCTTCACATACGCGCACGATTCCTGTGTAAATATAATCTTCGGCAACAGTAGCTCGGGACAACAATGAGGTAATCAAGCAATGGAATACTGCTTTGTCCGGCTTTAGTTGAGCCAGCTTCATCTCTTCAAAGCATTTCAAAGCCTTCTCGGGAAGAGATGCTCTAGCCCATCCGTGAATAAGCGTTGTATAGGTTTTTAGATTAGGCTTCACTCCAAGTGCTTCCATCTCTTGAACTGTTTTCATTGCTCTCTGCAAACGAAATATAATTTTAACAAACGAATGCAAATACTGATTCAATTTCTTAATTAACCTCTAGAGAATAAATGTCCAGGGAAATATGAAGTCAGTCACAACCACTAGAGGAAATAGGTATTCAAGTCTGATTCAGTGCACAATAAGAGAAATAAATACTGATTCTATTTCTCAATTAACCTCCAGAGAATAAATGTCCAGGGAAATATGAAGTCAGTCACAACCACTTGAGGAAATAGGTATTCAAGTCTGATTCAGTGCACAATAAGAGAAATAACGGATAAGAAAAGCACGCACTCAACCAACCTTCACTATATGGCATGTTTTGATAAGATTAAGATGGACTTATCATTAGTAGTCCAGTAGATAGTATTAAAGAAGAAAAAATACTATTGTCTATTGTTCCATCCAATCCCGTTCTGCATACCAAACATACCCTAGGGCCAACATGAATAATATTATAAGCAATACAATGAAAACAGCAGGAAATTTTTAAACATTTCCATCAGAAACATGATTTATCAGAAATGGAAGTGTAAAAAACAAAATGTTGCATTGTCCTTACCAGCATATCCCCAGCTTTACAGCAAGCATTTATGAAAGATGTGTAAGTATGGATGTCTGGTTGAACCCCTTCTTGTCTCATTTGCTGCATCAAGTCCGCGGCCTCCCAAACGTCACCTCTACGAGCCCATCTGCACGGAATGAAAGAACCAAGAATGCGAGAAATGTATCAAAACCTCTGCACTGATTGGCAGTGGGTAGAAGTGTCATAGCAAAAGCAAAGAAAGTGAAAAGTAGGAGCAGGTTTGGCTAAGCTTAAAAGGTTCACTTATAAGTAAATAAGTTAGTTGTAAAATAAGTGATTCTTTTATTAATAAAACTTGAAATTAAGTTAATTATTTTTGACAGCATTGTATTTTGACTTAAAACTAAAGGAAAAAGTACCTATATAAGATGTTTGTAAACAAAAAGTTTCTTCTCTTATTTTAAGCTTAGGCAAACATGCATGTGCTAACGCACATAGATTAAAATATAGAAAAATCCATACCCATCAATCAATATGTTGTAAACAAAAGTGTTTCGAGGAATATTTTGAGCATTCATCTCTTTTGTCACTGCTAAAGCACTTTGCATCCTTCCGGATTTACAGCATGCCTTGAGTAATGCCTCATAGGTATAAACATCAAGTTCGAGCCCATCACTTTTAATTTTCGAAAAATATTCAAATGCTTTTCCAGTGTCACCCAGTGATGCATAACCGTGCATAATGGTTGTATATGTGTGCTCATTGGGACTAATGCCTGCGAGCAACATCTCATCCAAAATCTCCACAGCCTTCTCCATCTGTAAGTAATGAAAGACTAATCGAATGACTGAACAGAATCAACATCTCAGTATATAAGTTGTTGAACAGTTCAACTTTTGCCATCTGAACTGCAAATATAAAAAAATTGTCCAGGCCTAAGAGCAATTAAGTATATAGCGAAAATAAACTCAACAAGAACTATCGTAGAGAAAATCTCATAATAATTATTTACTTCAAGGGCAGGGAGAAAAAATAATGGAAAATTTTATGATCCACAGAAACACTACGTGGCAGTCTAAATCAATGCCATGTTATAGAGAATCTCAAAAACTAAAAAAATAATTCTTTACTTCAAGGGCAGGGAGATAAAAAGACCGGAAATTTTATGATCCTTAGCAACACTAAGTGGCAGTCTAAATCAATGCCATGTTTCAGAGAATATCTCACAAACCAGCAAAAAAATTCTTCAAGGGCAGGGAGAAAAAAAAAAAGGAAATTTTATGATCCTCAGCAACACTAAGTGGCAGTCTAAATCAATGCCATGTTATATTAAAATCTATATAGGACTTCGCCAAATTACATCAATTAATAAGTTCGCTCGCATAGAAGCCAGATAAAGATGTACTTATGCAAAGAGGCACCCAAGGATTCAGGCAGGTCCAGCATTAAGTTTGCACATATTTCATACCCAATTTTCTACTACTTACTATGCATGCCTGGCTGTTATGAAGACTATGTATCGTACAAGTGACTGCAGTGAAGCATGTACATTTCACCTAGGTATTGGTGGCCCACATGCCTCGGACACATCAATACACGTGTCTCATGTGCCCCCGAGGAATGCACTCTTTTTTATATATTATTTAAAGTTTTCACCTGTGAAGAACACAACCCCAACACGCCTCAGACAAGTCTGGCATGCCTTAAACAAGTGTGTGGCACAACTCTTGGCTTGTCCTATACTTTTCGCCTAGAAGCCTAGTAAAGAACGAGATGGTGGTTTTATATTTCCTTTAGTCTGACAAGCAATAGACACGGCCCCAACACATCAAGACTTTCAAAGCCCCAATAAATGTCGAAATTGGGGAAAGTTTTAATTATTAAATATTAGCATAAACAATCAATGTAAGAAAAACCTATGAACTTCATGTGGAATTTATACAGTATCCTCTTTGTGTTTTGTTATATACGTGTATATTTTTATTCCATTGAGACTAATAATACAAAGTACAATGCAAAGCTATCTTAAAAGAACATAGTCACTCAAATTCAAAAGATTTACTCACGAAAATCAAAATCAAATCTAGAAAACTAGGTTAATTTAATTGAAAAATAAAAAAGTACAATTATAAACAAACAAGATATAAAATATATAATTCTAAGTATTTCAATTGACATATCCCCACGTGTCTATCACCTATATCTGAAAAAAAGGTATACTGTCGCGAAGTGGCACGTGCCTATGTCCATATTCATGCTTCATCTTGTGATGGCTATCAATATCCAAAAAGAGCATGCATATGAGCATCTAATCAAGTTTCAGCATAATCCAAACCCCCTACTCAATCTTTATGTTGTATGTACCTGACGCTTTTCAACGAGGCCAAGAATCAGAGCATTAAACGTGTGCACAGTTGGAATACATCCACTCCTCCTCATCATATTAAACATATTGAGTGCTTTTCTTGTTTCTCCAGCTTTTGCAAAAGCATGAATAATAGGCATAAATGTCCTTGAAGTAGGTCGGTGCCTCTCCTTCCTCATTTCCTCAACAGTACTAATAGCACGGTCAACATTATCCATACTGCAAAATGCCCTTATAATGTTATTGTAAAGCACAACATCTGGCTTGAGACCATCTCTTATTACGTCTTCAAAGATTGAGAAAGCATTAGCAAAATCTTTCAATTGTATAAATCCATTGATCAACATGGAATATGTCTTCATGTTATGCTTTATGCCTGACAGTTTCATCATGTCACAGACTTCCAAAGCTTTGGAAACTTTTCCTGCCTGCAACAGTGGAAAATACGATTAACAATGTTTGAGCGCCAGGAAACAACTTCAGTAACACTAAAATGAATAGTCGAAGTCGAAACATTGTTATTTGCAATTATCAAATTTTCAGCAGGTTTAGTTCGCACATAGCAGGACCAAGGTTGTCATGATTGTATTTTTGAATCGAAACAGTGGAAGGGTCTTGCGGATCAGATTGAGGATCATAAGATTTTATTAATTAAAATATCAAACATAGACAAACGTCAAATATCTTAATAACAACTATAACTAACTAAAATCAAAAAATAAAATCAAGGTTGCAACTACTTTATAGAGGTTCACAATTGATTTTGAAATTCAAAGAAAGTCAAATAAAATCAAATAGACATAAAAACTTCATTCAATTCATAACCAAATTCTGAAATCAAAGTATACATTTATAATTAAAATCTAACTGAAATTATTTTTTTATATGACAAACTTATGAACACCAATCACCTTGGATATCTGTAAAAATTGCACACAACCTTAAATCTGATTAACAATAACAACATTATGAGTCCAGAGAACAAATTCTGCTTCCACGACTGATTTCCAACTTGAAATTCAATCCGAAATAGGAGAAAAATAGAATACATATAAATTAAAAAACAAAATGCAAATGAGCTATCTTAAGAAGTGATCAAAGAAAATGTAGAAAGAAAAGAGTTCCAAAATATCATGAACAAATGAATGCAACAATCAATTTCCACAAGAGGCAACAGAGAATGAAAGATAACAGATTTCGTGTTAGGGATTCTAAGGTTTTTCTGTCATTTTGTTATTGCTTCCTTTTCTATTTAGCTCCTATTTGATGGCCATTATTTGGCAAAACAATGTTTTGAATAGTGATTTTTAGGAGAATGTGTGGTTAAAAAGTATGAAAAAGTTTTGAGTTAACGTGCAAAATATTTTATTGTGTAAATTTGTGGTTGAAAAATGAGTATGTAGAAAAAAGAATTTTCAAATAGTGGCCATCAAACAGGGGCTTAGTTTTAATTAGAGTTTTAATTCAAAAAGAAAATAGCTCAAGCGTCCAACAACCTAGCTTACTTAGTTCCTTGAAAATAAAGCTGAAAGTCCATAATGGTAGAGAAATGGAAGATTGTTAGGATCATTACAATCGAGCAACGAAATTGTTATATTCTAAAATTTAAGACCCTATAACAGGATCAGATCATTTTAAAATTTTGAGATCATAAAATTTCATGATCGTAAGATCTAGATTAAGAGTTAAAACAACCATGGGCAGGGCAATGCATAAAGAAAAACACACAGTTTTTTTTAAAAAGTTATTATGGGACATACATTTTAGGACAGACCCTCAAGCAAGAGGGTACACACACATAACAGTAACATATCAGGCGCAGAAGATACTGTGAATTAAAAAGCGGCAAGAGAATAACTTGGAACACATAAGATTAGGAAGAGATTTACAAAGAAACCATTCTAAAATAGAAAGAAAGTTGAACAACATTACAAATGAAGAGCTTACAGAAATTGCTTTATAGAAGAGGAAGAAAAGAGAGTACACAGAATGGAGAATGTTGTCTAGTGAGATCTATATAAGATCTAACTTATTAAGCTTTTGACACCTTAAGAGGTTGAAGATGATTACAAATATCAATGCTGAACAATAGGAACAAATAATAAAAAATGAGACAAACAAGAGCTTATTTACCCTTTTGTTTTTTTATAATTCCACGAACAACAATGTCAAAGGCAATGAGTTTTAATCCGGAACCCAGTTTCTTCACACTACTCATGCATTTATTTAAAGTTCAAGGTGCTCTGTCACTGAATAAGATGTGGTCCAAAACTTTCCAGACCAAACCTGAATGTAGCTGACACATTTACTTTTACTATCTAAATAAAATCTAACTTCAGAAAAGGTGCAGAGAAGGCAAAAGAAGAAGACAATGCAATAGCAGATCCCATGAAAACAAGTAAATAAGTTTAGGCAAGGAAAGAAGTTGCAGTTACCTTGGTATAAAGATTGATGAGACATCCATAAGTGACTACAGAAGGTGTGAACCCGCACTCCTACAGTCACAATCACGTGTCAGATGGTGGGAATAGGGTACATAGGACAAAATAAAATACCAGCAATTTCATCCTTTCCAACAAGTTTTAGCACTCCACACAGATCAATTGGCCTTTGTGTGCTTATATTTTCTACTCGAAAAATAACACTACCGGCGAGTGATATTGAATTTATGCAGCACCCATTATTTTAAGTATGACAGTTCAGCTCCCTATTAGTTTAAGTTTTCACAACATTGATCATTAAGCATTCTACTAGAGTTCCCATAAAGGATGTTTAATCAAGAATAGGTATTGCGCTTTTTCTCATTATCCTCACAAATCCATTCAAGAACCACCACCCCCTGACAAAAATGGAATTAAATGAAATTGATGAATTAAATACTATAATATATTTCTCTGTGTTACACATACGCAATGAATTCAGGATGATATGTTCAATATAGTAAGAGGTAGCAAGTTAAGGAATCAAATCCTCATACTCAATGTATCAAAAGCCTATACCTTTAGTCTATTAAACACAACGAGACATTTTTCTTCATTTCTTATCATGGTATAACCATCCATCATGGTGTGATATATGTCAATTGGAGCATCTATACCCTCCTCTTCCATCTCTCTAACAAATGCTTCAGCACGATCCATGTTACATCCTTGACTGCAGTATTTGGAGTAACAAGAGAAACAAAAATGTGCCATAATAAAGATAATTGTGACTGCATTAAAAATTGAACTGCAAAGATAATACCAACTAACAAGAAGTTAAGCCTTATTTTCAGTAAATTTGTTCACAGTAGCATAAAATCCTTTTTCAAACTGCAAAAATAAAAATAACCTAAAGCTGGCATGGCAATGCATAATTCACAACATATCCAGCATCTCCAACATGTGACCAGTACTCAGTACACTGTAACAAAATCTTCAGATTTCTCTAACCAAATTCTTCAGTTCCTCTCTCTTTTTCCTTTACTCAGCTACTTCAATGAGATTCAACATGTATTGGGTACTGATAATCTCTAACATGACATTTTTAAATCCATTTATTATATTGAAGAGAATATAATGTATATAATGTTGGGCTCTTTGAAAGCTATATCCATGTCAAAATGAAAAAATCTATAACACATGGAAAAAGCTACAGGAACCTACTCTTAGGCAGCTGTTTTGGCTATCTGGAAACTGCTTGCAGCCAATAATACTTAGAGGCTGTCTGGGCGTGATTATCATTCACTGAAAATTGATTTTTCTGCCCTTTTTTCTGACACAACACTCAGGCCATGAAGCTGAAATTAGACCGTTGCAGTGCTCAACGGTTAAAAAAGAACTTAAAATCAAATTAATGTCCCTCCCAGACAGCCCCTTAAGATAAATGAATGAATAAATCCAGTTCCTATGCATGGAATGAGGGCAGTAGAAGTGCATCAAATATTTATACAAGGAACTGTATAAGGGTAATCATGTCAGCCTTAAAAATAGAATCTGAAATGAAGCAAGCCACATACAGCATGTGGCACACTCAATAATTCATTGCCCTTACAATCATCAATCAATTAAAATCATTTGAATGAAAACACAAGCAGTACATAATTCCAAACTCAATAGTAAAATAGGCATTCACCTATAAGAAAAAGACACTCCACCCCCACACACATGAGAGTGAGAGAGAGGAAGGTATAGACAGGAATGACAAGATTATCGTCAGCAGCAGGAAAAGCACTTACGTAATTGTAGTCAACGGTATAAAATAAAACAAAAAGTTAAATTAACTCCACTAACCAATTAGCGTAAATTATGTTCCCATATATAATTGCATTTAAGGTTGAAAGTTCCTCTTTGGCCTTCTGAAACCAACGTTCTGCAGCTCTTCCAGAAATAGCAGAAAGAAACATTAGACAAGGAACTTACAAGACAAGTCAAGAATGTAATGCCGAAAACCTTATCAATCTAATTCAGGCAAGTAATTAATTGGAGAACCACAAAGTAAAAAATGAAGAAAAATTTAGAGAACAAACAAAATAAGATCTGGAAATTGGCATAAGACACTTTTGTCTGTTTAACTATTTCACCAGAATCTATTAAATATATATATATATATATATATAGGCCAAATTACATAATCACTCCCTGGAGTTTTGCTCCATTGCAAACAGACCCCATGAGGTTTTGATTTTACAATATAACCACTTGGGGTTTTTAAATTGGTGAAATTGAATATATATAATTTTTTTTTTTTTTGGCCCTAAACATCAAGAGGAAAAAAAATTAGAACACAGAATTGCCTTAACAAGTTGCCAACACTTTCTTCCTCAAATGAATATGACATTCGCGGATGGTTGTTCATTGAGATCCTTCTTTATATATTTCGAACTGCTGGATCAAATACTCTGGTTTCTAGCCTATCCAAGTTACATAGTTGATGAAAATAGAGATCAAAGAAGGCTCAATCAAAGCATGCGAGAAGGGAGAGCATAAGGAACCGTCTGAAGGGCAAGGAGAAGAACCGCTAATGAGAATTAGGCTTGACGAGATGTGCACTAGGACAAGGGATAAGAGAGCACTGATCTCTGGGCACAGGCAATGATCTACATAAAGTAGATGAAAACCAGCATCTATGTAGATGGTAAAGTAATAGTATTAATATAGAAAAGTTGCATCAAGGAAGCAGTAGAGAACAATATAAAGCCAACGAATTAATAAGATGGCTTCTTGTTCCTGGTGCTTAACATGATGAGACTTTGAGTCGAAATTGATTCTATACCTGTTTAATGTGCTCAGGAGAGCAACATAATGGAGAAAATAGCAGAGAAATAGAAAGAGGCAACCACTCCTACTAGGGATACACCAAATGCCTCTCCACTACTGACTTCCCTGCTTGTATTGAATTCATTTGCTTTCCACACACATTTGTGATATATTGTCATTGACCACCCAATTTTATTCTAATTACAGAGCCAAAGAATTTGACGAGTATTGCTCCAGAAAAACTTCACTAAATAAACTAAACAAAAAAATAATTGGTTGAGAAAGGTATGTATTGTTGACAAGCACATGCAATCAAACTTTATAAAAATTGGAAAAATATGCATTTGAATGAAATATATGCATCGACGGAGACTTTCTACTCACTCAATATTGCCAATTTTAGCAAATCCTCCCACAAGAATACTGTATGTCACCAAACTCATTTCAATTCCTTCCTCCTCCATCTTTCTTACACATGACATTGCTTCTTCCATGTCTCTTCCTACTGCATATGCATGAATAAGGCTGCAGCAGTGTAAAGTGGATTTATTGTGAGACAATCACTTAATACTTTAAAATGAGAATCAGATTAACTTCAGAGTGTGTGCAACTAAGAGCAACAGTAAGATACGATGTTCCCTTATCAATAGAGAAAAGTAGAAAGTAATCGAACTTCCCAAATGGCTAGAAGTGCATTGGAGAGCGGAAGGTGCAATATAACAATTTTTACTTTGTAAATACATGTAAATTCGGCTCTATTCCCCGGGCCCGCATCTTCTCAAAGGTTTCACGTGCACGATGCATGTCACCTCGTCTTGCATAATAATTCACCAACAATCCAAACTCTTTTCTGGAAGGCTACAGAGAAAACAAATCATTTAAAGTAGGTGAAGGATAAGTACGATGCACAAAACAAGTTTTCAAACTGATGTTCTTAATTGGTATAATGATAAGTTGGATATAAGTTACGTACATTCATTTCTGTGCTTCCATGTGTAAATTGATATTCTGGTTATGTTTATTCCATTGTTTTTACTACCATGAGGCATATACATTTGAAAGTGTGCAAAATGTGTTATTGCCAAGTGAATCCATTTGTCTATCAAGCTAATGCACAGCTGTGGGTCATGCATTGTACATTTGTCAAATTCTATCTTGACAAACTCCAACAAAACTAATTCTCACTTAAAGCGGAACATGCAAGTTTGTATAAGATAATAAGCCTCTTCAATGCAAGTTCATAACTTAAGTACATTCTCTTTTCAATAGTATACAGACCGAAATTTAACTAATAAGAATCAAGTCTATGGTTTTCTTTCATGGAAGCATACATGTTCTTTTGTTCCTACAAGCTCATTCCTAATTTTATTTCACATTGCGAGATACCTTCATAAATCATATTTATTACTATACCAGCCCAAAAAGAATTTCTAGGCATATCTCGTCATATTTTAACTTCTATAGTGTATCCTTTAGTAGAAATGAGCTGAACTGCACTAAGGAATTTTTCGACTTCACAGTGACACAATTGAACTTGGTTGAAATGCAGTTAAATCCACCATCGTTATGACAATATCCTACTTAAAAGAACTTGACATCAATCACAAGCAAGCAAACCAGAGCATTCATATAATTATAAAAGTACCTTTTTAATCCTCTCAAACATTCGCACAACTGCCTGCCAATTCTCCGGATGAGTCTCCAGAACCTTCCGGAACTCCCTTCTCGACCCCTCCCTCTCTTCATGCCACTTAGATCTGTACTCATCCCCATCCCCCTCCTTGCCTTCAACCCACCTAGCCCTCCCCTCAGTTTTTGCCTTCATTCGCCTCCCGTCGTCCAACTTCACGCTCAGTACCCTCCCATGGAACTCAACCCCATCGAACTCTACAGCCTTCATTGCAGCCTTCTCTGCCGTGGGCCCAGTATATATCACAAACCCAAATCCCATGTTTCTCTCAATATCATCATATCCTTTTATCAAAATCACATTCTTTATAGGTCCAAATTGCCTGAAAAATTCCGCCACCTCATTTTTCTTTATCCATAGTGGTAAGTTCCCTACAAAGATTTTGCCTTTCTCCCTAAACTCCATCCCCCCTTCATCTTCTTCTGCACCACAAATTTCTGTACTTTCCGAAGTACCGTCGCCATTTCCACTTTCCACTGTTTCATTTAACAAGCGGGGCGGGGGTGGGGGCGGAGGTCGAGGTGGAGGGGAGAGTTTGCTGGATAACCACAGCTTACTACTAAGACTATCTGATGGCGGAATGGTCGGGGTATTTTGAGAATTAATAAGGTTTTTTAAGGGATTTTTAGAAACTTGGGAGGTTTGTGAAATTGAGGTTCTGAGAGGCTTTTGAGTTGTTGGGCGGCGGAGGCTGTTGGAGGGATTTTGAGGGGGATCTTGCGAGGATTTTACAGAAAGAAAAATTGAGGAAGTAGAGGTGGCAGGAGTGGTGGTGGGATGGTGTTTTCCGGGAAGAATGGAGGCGGGAACGGGAGGTGGCATATGAGAATAGTGTGCGGTGGAAGACAGAGACATGATATCCATTGTTTCATCAAGAAAGCCAGGCGAAATCGAATAGTATGGTACAGATATAGACGAGGATACGGTTTACGGAAAGCCGCTGGCGGATTAAAATTTTCTTTCTTATTGTTCTATCCGCATTTTTCAATAAAATAATATTTTTCATCACATTAATAATTTTTCTTTCTTTTTCAACCACACATTTTCTATCAATTTACTATTTCAAAATACATTCTTCCAAAATAATGTGACTCGAACACACCCAAATTCAATTCAGATGGATGTTTTGGTGCCGGACTGTAAATAGCTTATCACTTTGGAGCTAGTAGTTTAGAGTAACAAAAAAAATGAGGGTTATGCTGATCGAATATTGTATTTTTTTTAGATTGAAACGCAATAGTAATGCAGAATAATCATATAACACCTCCCGTAGCACACCTCATACTCCACCTCTTTTCGACCGCACTAATGAGGGTTAGGCAGAAGTAGGCATGAGGGTTCAAAAGAAGCGACATTAGCGAGGAACAAATGTGCAATGACGATGTAAAGAGCAAATTAGGCCCTATTTGAGCCACATTATTTTTTCATTCTCACTATTCTACTCATTTCCAACCACACATTATTCAATAAAATAATATTTTTCATCACATCGATAACTTTTCCTTCTTTTTCAACCACATATTCTCCATCGCATCAAACAAAAAAAATGCATTCGTGTGGAAATAATGTGGCTCAAACAGGGGCTTAATAGAAAAATCATGGTCGTAAGAATTGGTTATTAAAATATTTTCTTGTAAATTTGTACTCGTTATTCTGACACGTCACCCACCAACATTTTTCCCAAACATAGTGAAAAGAAAAAGATCAATTTGATCACTTCCAAGACTCTTTGCTCATGTTTGGTAGATTTTAATTAGAATTAAAATGAACAATTAATTTTAGTAACATATTTTATGGACCACACAACTTTTCAATTACAAATTTCATCAATTTATATCAAAATTTACCAAACAAGGGCTTTTTATAAATGTTTGGCTCATGTTTACAAAATATTTATTAACAATTAAGTCACTTTTTATCCATATATTTTGGGAGATTAACATATATTAATCAATAATCTATCACTCATTGCTATTTATTTATAATTTAAATTATTTATAAACAATTCCTAAACATGCTTACCTCCTCTTAGAAAACCTTCTCATAAATAATGGAAAAGAATCACATTTTATTCTTACACTTCATCAAATTGTCTAGCAACGATGCAACATCTTTCTATTTTTGCTCAACATTTCCTTTAATCAAATTTTAGACATGAAAGTTTTAGGGAATGTTCTCTTTGTATTTCAATTTTATATTTTGAGTATTCAATTTGAAATTGTTAAAAATGCGTTCTTTTTGACATTTTGAAAAATTATTTTGAAAACACTTAAAATGCGTTTTGAAAATTTTGGTTTGATTATAACTGAAAACACCAAAACGATTGTCATTTTGGATTTTTTGTAAATTTTTAACTTGTTTTTAAAAATAGGAAAGAGAACGCGTTTTCACTCTTTTGGAATATCGAAAACAAAAAACGGATTGAAAATGATAAAAAGAACAAACCCTTATATTTCCCTTTGCAAATCCTTCTCACTGAAAGAAGAATATTATTGAAAATTGCAATGTGCCACAATTAAAAATTTACGTTTGAGAAGTTTTATTTTTTTTTTTAAATGGACAACGTTGTAAATCTGTCGAGCAAAATCGCATATAGCCCTTGAGGTCATTGATCCAACATGAGTAAAAAATCATCTTGAGAATCACATGAATCAACCAAACCAGACATTAACTACCAAAGCAATCACGACTGAATACGCATCAATAGTTTGTGTTAGCACGAAATAAAATGAAAACCAAGACGATAAAATGCAGAGGGAAATAGATAACAAAAATTCAGATGAATACCTCAAATGTTTTGTTTGCATTGATCTTTAGGGCATGAATAAAAATTAGTCTAAAAGCTAAAATAGTAAGAACTACCATACATAGATGGAACTGGTGTAAAACTGTATTGCTCTCGTAATAGCATGAATGCTTATCAAACAAACTCAGTACCTCCTTCCAGAACCACCAGCACCACCTCGGCCATAAGCAGGGGCAGTAGGCAGTGTCTGTGGTTCAATAGTCTGCTTAATAACTCCAGGAAGGTCAGCCATGCCAAGGGCAGTAAGCATGTCATGAGTCTCCTGGTCAACTTCGATGACATCAGTCTTAATGGCAGACTCATCGGGCACAAAGTCCATGCGCCTCTCACGTTCCTCCTCCTGCAGTTTGAGTGAGATGCCACGAACAGGACCCTTCTGTATCCGCTTCATCAGGTGGGTAGAGAAGCCAGCAATCTTGTTCCTCAGACGCTTGGAAGGAATAATGGCAACTTCCTCCAAGACCTTTTTGTTCGTGTGGAAATCCAAAGTCATTTTAGAGTAATATCTCTCGATCACCTGTCGGGAGGACTTCTTCACCGTCTTAGTACGCACACGACCCATCTCAGCAACGGCACCTTAGTAATTGATTTTGACATACATGTGTTTAGTCATAGAGACAACTGATTTAAATTGTTAACCATTCAACTACAAAAAAAACTTAGTAAATACTTTCCGACAACGCAAGGATACATAATCATAAAGTGCTAAAAATTATTAAATTGAACATGACAGATTTTCAAATTTCAACTCTCCATCCAATGGCACGCAGAATGGAAAATGATAGTTCCAATATAACGAAAAGTATACATTCATCCTTCAGTGTCACAAAGAAAACAAATAAATTGTTCATGCGTGTTTCTGCATCTGCCTGGATTTAATTCCCTACAATTCCAGGACAGATAAATGAAGCCCGCATTACAGAAAACTCTACATTAAGAAAGAATGTCATTATACCAGATTAAGACTTTTTAAGCAATTTACGTTTCCCCAGTCCTTTTCTAAAGTATTAATCGCTAGACTCGGTACTTTTCAGTAGGAATCAGAAAAACAGGATAGCGCTACTACAAACATAAATTTCTCTTGCAGGTTCTATTAAATGTAGAACCGTTTATATTATTACCTAAACTACAATTTTTGCAAGAACAGGCATGAAGTAAATCCACATAAAATCAAGGGAACACTAGCCACAATGGATATATGATTTAAATATTTCAATCCCAATTTCGAATTATTATTTTTTCCAAAATCCAAATGCACCACACACACAGACACAAACATTTAATTTTCCAGCAACAAAACATAGAGTCGTCATACATTCTCCGCAAGTATACACACAGACGTCCCATGAATAAATGAAACAGACAGAAGAATACATTACAACACAAATATATACGAACATACACCATTAGCAAAAAACCAATATACACAAAACAAACTTGTATTTCCGCAGATGTAATACTAACCCCGTAAACACACATAACTTAATTTGATATTTATATAAAGCTAAAAATCCATGCACGCACGCACGCACAATCACGTGTATATACAGTTACCATTAGTTAAAAAGGAATGGATCTACATGAATAAACAAAGCGACAATGGATTGAAATTTAGGATTAATCTACTTGTAAAGTTAATTTACTTGGAAAATTGTGAAATTTAACCGAATCATTAACAGAAAGTAAAGAGAATTTACTTGGAAACTGAACGGACAAGCCAAGCGAAGTACTCGGGTCGCTGAAGACGAAAAAATCCGGCAGCTTTCGGAAGGGTTTGAGAGAGCTATTTAAGACATAGGAATTGGGGATCAATTAGGGCCTTGAGATTTAGGTTTTATTTTGGGCTTGTGTAAGATAAGCTGAGTTTGCTTCTATCGAGCTTCAAATTATTGGGCCTCCTTATGGCAAAACATGGGAAAATTACACTAAATCAAGTGTTTAATTTGATGTTTTAAAAAATCAGATTTATACTTTATTTAATCAAAAATTAGGTTTTAATTTCACAATTAATATTAATAATAATATTTTAAATTAAATTAAATCCACCCCCACCCCCACCCCAACCCCAAATTTCAATTCCCAAACCCTATTCCTCCCCTCTCCCTCACCCCCTCCCTTCCCTCTTCCTCTGCCATTTCTCCCCATCCCCATCCCCATCCCCATCCCCTTTCCCCTCTTGCCGCCTCCACCGCCACGATGCTGGTCAGATCTGGGTCTCCTCCCTTCCCTCAGTTCTCTCCTCCCACTTTCCCATTCTCTCATGTCCCCTCTTTCAGATGTGTGACAGCGACTCAGCAGCGTCGCTGTTGTGGGACACAGTAGGGCGACGCTGCTGCGTCGCAGCAGGGACCGTTGCTGTGCGACACGCTGCTATGTCGCAGCAGCGTCCCTGTTGTGCTTCACAGTAGCGCGACGCTACTAGGACACAACACGTCGACGCTACTGCCAGCGTTTTGGGCGCTGCTTCATGCGTTTGTGGTGGCTGAGGTGGAGTGTGATGGTGTTTGTGCTTTGTGTGTTTCGTATGTAAATGTTCAGTAGCTAATGGAAGTTGGGTTTTTTGTTGTTTAGCCTACAACTGGGGATGTGTGGTTGTGGAGGTGGTGGATCTGTGGTGGTATGATTTGAGCGGTGGTGGTGGATCTGTGGTGATGGTCGTGTGGTGGTGGTTTTTGTTTTGTGTCTGTGATCTAACTATTGAACCGTGGTGGTTTTTTTGGTGTCTGTGACCTAGCTATTGAACTATAGTGGTTTTTCCTGGTTTCTGTGANAAACTGTGGTGATTTTTTCTGGTATCTGTGACCTAGCTGTTGAACTGGTGGTAGTTTTTTGTCTGTAACCTAGCTATTGAACTGGTTGTAGTTTTTTTGTCTGTGATCTAACTATTGAACTGTGACTTTAAAATTGATAATTTGCAACTAAAAAAGGAATCTATGACCCACAAATTTGAAAATACGTGACATGTGTCATATAATTTTTTGATATGTGACCTGAAATTAAAATTTTAACTATTTAATAAGATATCTGTGACCTTGGAATCAGAGCAGTTATCGGAATTAAGCGGCGGCCAACGATCATCGGAAATGGTTACCGGAATTAAGCGTGGCCGAAGAACATTTGCCGGAGTTGTCACCAGAGCAGTGGTTGGGTCGGGTGTGTTAATTATATTATATTACAGTTAAACATTTAATTTAATAGATTAATTGTAAAATATAATTAATTAATTCATGAATAAACCTGATTTTTGCAATTCTAAACATTAGAGCCTGATTTTTGATTCATGATAGATAATACCCGATCCATGAATTTTTCCCGCAAAAAGAGTCCCAACTTCTCAATGTTCTACCAAGGGGCTAATTTAATGGGACAAATTCACAACTAAGATATTACGGCCAATTCAATTTCCATGTTTTGAGCTTCAAAATTCAAAACTCATGTGATAAATAAATAATTAAATATATTAAATTCACAATTATACAATTAATGATCATATGTACGTACTTATATATAACAACTTATTTATTAATCATATATTATCGAATTAATTGATTACAAATTATTTCACGGTCACAAATTGAAAAATTTATAGGTCATAGTTTATTCATCGGTCACAAATTATTTTTCAGTTACAAATTATCGAATTTTTTATGTTACAATTAAAAGGTTGGTTACAAATAACCAAACAGTTGTTACATACACCAAATACCCCACCTCCGATCTCAATCCACCATAAATATTTGGTCACAAATCAACTAAATAATTTGTGACCACCACCTCACTACTGGTAACTGGTAAGTGTGTTTTACACGAGTTTTGTGTCATTTGAACCCAATATTTTAGCTTAATTTATTGATTATAGAACGAATTTAATGTGTTTGCTAGTGTTTTGGTTGAATGAATGATAAAATGAGGAAAAATGGATGATGAAGCAATTGAGAAAAAAAAGGAGGAACCAGAAACACAGCGCTCAGGCGCCCTGAAGTAGCACACCAAGGGCTGGGCAAATGCAAAAAAAATCTACAGAGATGCGGCTCCCAGGCGCTACCTTTACTCACCATTTCCTGGAATGCAGCAGAACAACAGAACTGCAGGGCTTAGGCGCTGCATGAGAAGACATCGTGGCGCCTAGGCGCTGCGCCATAAAATTTAGGTTTTGTTTTTTTTGGACTGCGAAAAGCCCATGAATGAGTCTCCAACTTGACCATGAGTATGATGAACTATAAATAGATTGAGGAAGACGCGAAATAAGGGTTCCACACCTTCCAAAATAGAGAGAAAAATACAAATTTGGAGACAATTTCACGTGAAGAATTATATCAAGGATTCAATCTAAATCAAGGGGTTGGAAGTGGAAAGAGATCTTGGTGCAATAGCTAATCATTTTTCAACTTTTGTATCATTTAAATCCAGTGATGTATTCGAATTTTGTTATTTATTTCTTTGTTTTGATTATGAGTAGCTAAATCTTCTATTAGGGCAAACAGTGTAACTTATTGAGACCTTAGTTTTTGGATTCAAGAATTTCTGAGTTTTATTCTTCTATGTGTTGATTTTGTTATGAATGCAATGCTTTAAATTATCTGGCCAATAATTTGATGATCTATTGAGTTTCTTACGAATCGAGAGGTGAATTCGAGATTTAGAACGTGTAATAAAATTTGGTAACGAGGTATAACATGTAGAGATATGTATACTAAGTGCTGCGGTCGTTATATGAATCCCCAGTGGCATAACTTGTTTAACTAAGGGTAATTCGCATAGAGATATGAAATTGAATTAGTTGAATAGGCTCAACGAGAATTCGAGAGGGATAAGTTGAATACCGTAGGAGAATTTGACCGAACACTACATTAGACTAGAATCTTGACTTGGGAACTAAGGTGATCAACAAGTGAAGTTGTTTTGCTCTAATACATTCTATATACGTGAAACTTCAATCCATTGTGTTTGTCATTCATCATAATTCCTATTGCTTTCGTTTTCATAGTCTTAGGCATTTAGTTGATTGAGAAAAATCTATTCTCATAACACTCATTGTTTTTTATTTGTTATTTTTGTCAAGTAGTAGTAGGAAAAATATTTGAAGTACTAAAGTTTATTCATCGTTGGAACGATAATCCGGACTCAAATGTCTACTTTCCTATTTGTTATTATATCGTACATTTGCGATAGAAAAAACGCAACAGTAACCAACCGCATCGCCACTGAAACCACTACTACCATCTCCCGACAGCAAAATCGTTATCTCAAACACCACCACCACCATCACCACCACCAACCTACCATTCCACAACCACAACCTTCACCCCTACCAAAAAATTTCTCAAATCTGCCGTCGGACACTACCACCACCGCCTGTATCAACAATAACTACCACAAAGGCCGCATCAACCACATCATCACCACAATAACCACAACACCATCGCCAGAGCCACCGCCACGCCTCAACAACACCAAATCCACAACACACACCACAGTACCCACCACTACACCACCGCACCCACATCATCGCCCCACCATCGCACCCATTGCACACAACAATACAACCATCACAATTGCAAAACCAACACACCATAACCACCACAATACCACAGTACCACCATTGAACCGTTAATCATGACATTGCTAAAAAAAAAATTTAAAGAAATGGAAGAAGAATAATGGATTTGCGTCTAGTCATGTGCAGCAGTGCACCGGTGCTACTGCCAGAGTCGTCGGAGCCGTCTGAGAGAAAATGAAGAAGTGGATTGTGATTTTGGGATTTTTAGGGTTTGGGTGGGTATGATTCAGAGTGAGAAGATAGATGATATTGAATACTATTAATATCTGATTTTTGTATAAACAAACTTTAGATTTTATTTTTTAAATGGGATCTTGAAAGATCCGATTTAGCGTAATTTCCACTTATTTCATTTTGGAATAATTACTTATGTACCTCCTTTTTTACTAAGACTTCAAAAATTCACTTCTTTAGTTTTTTACCCTTTTAAAACACCTATTAAAAATACCTCTATTTTCTATTGTATAAACTTTTTAAAAAAGTAATCATTCACCATTCCAAACCCAAAATAGAAGACTTTAATGTAATTCTTGCTTCAATCATTTAAAACCTAGCACCACCAACTGGAATCGCAAAGATATGCAATCTACAGCCTCCTTTACGCACGTTTGTACGTCACCACCACCTCTCTTTTCTCTCTTGCCGCCACCGTCGTCGTTGTCACGACCATCACCGCTTCATTTGTCCATTTCTAGGCCATCATCAGAGCTGAAACTAGATATATGCTCCATATCCGAATTTGAATATGAGGCGTACACCTTTCTAGGCGTCCAATCCACGCAAAGTCGAAACCAAATTTATTCACGTAATTAACATTTGAATTGAAGAAGCGTACCACCATATATTCTTCATATGTTTAATGGATGACATGTTCTGTGTCAAATCCGTTGTCTTCACTCACAAGAGTTGAAATTATCTTAGTATTCCACCTGTTAATAGTTTCTTCATTTTCTACTTGTCTGTAAGTCATCGTCTTGACTATTTTGCTTGCACATATTTAATTTTGTTAGAATATAATTATGTACCAAATTTTCTCTTACACCAAGCTCCCAAGAAATACCCACCGTCTCCAACTATATTTTTCCAAAAGTAATGTTAGTTAGCCCTGGTAGTGCAAAACACGAGTCTATGTGGCACTCAAGTGTATTGAGTGGGCAAAAGAATTGGAACCATTAGAACCAAATTGATTGGTTCGATTAATTTCAGTTGCAAGTACGTTTTCAATGGGTTTCGCTTCTTGGAATCTGAACCAAACGGTTCTAGTTTAGACCCAAAATTTTGGGGGTTTTGGAACTAAATCAAACCAAACTGAACTGAATCGAACATGTTCTAATGGAGACCATTCAGTTCCATTTAAATATTAATAATAGAACCAAATGGTTATATTATCAAATAGGAGCTCTGTCTCTAAAAAAAAACTAGTGTAGACCTGTAAGGCAGGCTAGCACGGTGTCACTAAGAGTAGACAGATGCATTCCGACCTTTTTGAGACCTATACTTCATATGCTTACTCTTAAATAAATAGGATTAAACTTAAAACCTTTTTTGGTAAATTAGGGTAACATTAAGCCCTTTGTTTGAGCCACATTTTAAACGAAAAAATATGTTCGAAGAATGTGTGGTTAAAAGTGAAGATTTTTTTAATTATTTATGTGTAATATTTTTTTATTGGAGAATGTGTGGTTGAAAATAAATTTTTGATAAAATAAGACTCAAACAAGGGCAAAAGCATTGGAGGAATGAATAGGAAGTGATATTACTTGAAATTTTTCAATATAAGATAAGAAATAATGAATAGGTGCATGGATTTTCATGCAAAGAAAGAATTGATCTTTTAAACCTTTATTCCATCAATCATTCAATCAATTCAAGAAGGCTTTATTCCTTACTCTCCTTTAGAGTGATATATTAATCACAACTCACAAGTTGGCTTCACAATCATACAAACTGTTCCATTTCCTTCAAACAGATCCACTTTCTTTTCAGTTTGGTATTTCTCTTCTCTCTTCTTTTCCAACTCTCTCTCTCTCTCTACCAAAGCATTATTTGAGGGTTTGTTTGACCCTATTTTTGGACATAATATATTTTGTAACAGTGATATTTTGAAGAATATGAGGTAAAAAAGTAAGAAATTTTTTTGAGTTTACGTTTAAAATTATTTTATTGGAAAATATATGGTTAAAAATGAGTTTAAAAAAATATAAATTTTAAATGAATGGGGATTAAACACGAACTTAGTATTTTAAAATATATTATATTAAAGAATATAACTGATAATTTTAGAACTCTCTTTTTCCTATCTAATCTTGGTAATATATTGAAATGCTTAAGTACAAATTTGATACGTTGAATTGAATAGAACTATTGTGAGATAAGAAGAAGAGGTGAAATGCAAAATTGATCATTTCTCATACTGTACAATACTCCTAAACGAATATGACATCATAACATTTTTGGTAGAGAAGATTAATGAATGACAATAAAGAATATGAACAAAAAAAATAAATTCATATATTTTTTATTATATTATCTAATCTAGTCGCATCGAGTGTATTACCATCACCCCAAGCACTATAGATGGGTGAGCAAGACAAACTTGGCTGTCCATTCTTAGATGCTATATAAATTGAATAATGCTGCTTGAACATGTTCAGTAATAGGTCATTTTTTGACCGACCGACTTGATAGATTTTAATTGTCAATTTTTTCTTTAATTTTTTTAACTGTAAATGAAAATTTGTCGGTGTATGTGTGTGGCACAAAGCCTGTCATTGAGTCTGTTTTCTCTATGAGAATTCATGTAAAATTGTGAAAGGAAGGCAACATGTTCAATTTTTTTCTCCAGTTAGTGGCTTCATACATATTATTATGTTTATCAAATATATAATATTAATATTATTACTTTCCAGAAAAGAATAGCAGTCCAACTTCAAATTTATCGATTCTACCTTTTATGAAAGAAAGCCAGAGAGGTTACAACAAAAAAAGAAAAAAAAAAGAGAGAAAGCTAGCGAGACAGCTTGCCTTTGCTTCACATGCATACCACTTTCTCATGCAAATTTTTGAAAACTTTCAGATACAAAACTAACACAACAAGAAAGGCACAAACTCACTTCACACTTCAAATAATTCTTCTTAGATCACTCCAAATCAAACTTGCTTAACAGATTTCTTTCTCAGATGAAACCTAAAACTCATTTGTGTTTAGCTTTTTGTTCATAAAATTCTCAGACTCAAGAAAATTACATATATCTTTTACAAAGACTGCAAACAATTGAAATCAAAGATGAGAACTGGAGGATACACTCTCCAGCAGTCTCTAACTGCTGATGCAGCAAGCATTGTGAAGCAGGCAGTTGGGCTTGCTAGAAGGCGAGGCCATGCGCAGGTTACTCCTCTTCACGTGGCGAGTGCCATGCTTGCTTCTTCTGCCGGTTTGTTCCGAAGGTCTTGCCTTCAATCACATTCTCATCCCCTTCAATGCAAAGCCCTTGAGCTTTGTTTCAATGTAGCGCTAAATCGCCTCCCCACGTCTGTCTCTAGCCCTTTACTTGGTCCTCATTCTCACCTCCCTGCGCTCTCCAACGCACTGGTGGCCGCCTTCAAGCGTGCACAAGCCCACCAGCGCCGGGGTTCGGTAGATAACCAGCAGCAGCAGCCCATATTAGCCCTCAAAATAGAGGTAGAACAGCTTGTCATTTCCATTCTAGATGATCCAAGTGTTAGTAGAGTCATGAGGGAAGCTGGTTTTTCAAGTACCCAAGTCAAAGCCAATGTTGAACAAGCTGTTTCTTTGGAGAGTGCTAATCAGTCCAAAGAAACCAATCTCAAACTCCAAGTTCTTGGAAATAATGAGCCCCAAATGACTAATATTCAAGTACAAAATGATGATGTCATGAGTGTTGTGGAAGCAATGATGAACAAGAAAAGAAAAAACACTGTTATTGTAGGGGAGAGTTCGGCCACTGCTGAGACAGTAGTAAAAGCAGTAATCCATAAGTTTGACAAGAAAGAGGTACCTTTAGATATGAGGTTTGTACAATTCATAAGTGTTCCCCTTTTCACTCTGAAAAATGTCTCTCGACAAGAATATGAAGAGAAACTTGAAGAGCTTAGGTCATTTGTTAGAAGTTCTGTAAGTAGAGGAATTGTGTTGTATTTGGGTGATCTTAATTGGGTTTCTGAGTATTGGTCTAAATATGGAGAGCAAAGGAATATTGGCTACTACTGTCCTGTGGAGTACATGATTATGGAGATAAGTAGACTGGTATCTGGAGATGGAGAGAATAAAAAATTGTGGATAATGGGCACTGCAAGTTTCCAGACTTACAACAAATGCAAAATTGGCAGCCCTTCTTTGGAGACTCTTTGGAACCTTCATCCTCTACCAATTCCTGATGGCAACTTGGCTCTTACTCTTAATCTTCAGAGGTAAATTTTATGCGTTGCTTAAAGTTTTATAATTAATTTGTTAATTACTAATAATTTTGAGTAGACTAGGTGAAGCCTTTTTTTCCGCTTCCTTCGATTCATTGCTTTGGGTTTATTAATCTATGCCAATAACATATATATAATTTGTTTATGTTCTCTTAGTGATACGCAACTCAAAAGCAAGGCCCCGGAAGATGGATCCAACTGGTTATTTCACATAGCTGGAGTCCAGAAGTACCTCACTTGCTGCTCAGATTGCATGGTTAACTTTAAAAGAGAAGCTAGAGGTCTAATGAATGACAACATGAAGTCCACAACCACTTCTTCTAGCTCAAGCTTGCCTTCATGGCTCCGACAGTACAAGAATGAAAACAAAAAGGAAACTGACACTGATCAGGTTAATTTTTCACTTTTGAAATGCCCTTTTTGGAAAATTTGATTGCTTATATTTACATTGTTTAAAAAGACAATTGACATAGTTTCTTTAATGACGTGTGTTTATGGTACAGGAATTTGATAAAATTAAGGATCTTAGCAAGAAATGGAACTCAATCTGCAAGTCTGTCCACAGGCAACCCCATTTTCTTGAAAATATGTTCAACTTGTCCTCATTATCACCTTCTTCATCCGATTCAATATCTTCAAATAGTAAGCACAATTCTAAGCTGCATCCAAGCCTTCTAGAGTGGCAGCCGACAACTTTTGAAATAAACCAATCACCCGAAGAACACCAATTCTTTCTACATGCAAATGAGGGTGAAGTTTCTAAACCTGTTATAAAACCTGACCTTTTGTTGAATCCCAATTCAAGTCCAAATTCCGCTTCCTCTAGTGAAGCAAGTGGAGATCACATGGACTTCTTGCATAAGTTCAAGGAGTTCAATTCAGAAATCATGAGCATTCTTTGCAATGCATTAGAAAAGAAAGTTCCATGGCAAAGAGACATAATTCCTGATATCGCGAGTGCAATTCTTAAATGTCGATCAGGATTGATGACGAAAAAAATCAAGAAAGAACACGAACACGGAGAGGGTCAAGAAGAAACTTGGCTGTTCTTTTTAGGCAGTGATTCTGATGGAAAAGAGAAAATGGCAAAAGAAATTGCAAAAAAAATTTTTGGTTCTCAAGAAAACTACACTGAAATTACTCTAAGCAAATTCTCATCAGCAACAAGAGACGATTCAACCGAAGAAGTAAGCAACAAGAGGGCAAGAGATGAACATGGTGAAAGTTATTTTGACAGATTTGCAGATGCTGTCCGGGATAATCCTAGCCGTGTATTTTTCATGGAAGATGTTGTTCAATCTGATTATCATTCACGAAAAGGGATCAAAAGGGCAATTGAAAATAGAAGTATTACACTTTCAAATGGTGAGTTTGTTCCACTTAAGGATGCAATTATCATTTTGAGCTGTGAAAATTTCAGCTCAGAATCAAGAGCCTATTCTCCTCATACTGAACGAAAATGTGACAAAATAGAGAAAGATCAAGAAAATGGTGAGGACTTGAAGCAGGAATGTGCCTTGTTGGATCTGAATATTGCAACAGACGACGAGGATTCAGTTTTTGTTAATGGGATTTTGGATTCGGTGGACAAACAAGTTGTTTTCAAACAACAAGAACAGTAAATGGAGAATGCGGATCTGTGGATTTGAACTTTTCTTTTTGTCTTGTAATTTGCATTTTCTACTTAGTTTTTACTTCATGTTGCGTGAGGGTAATTACAGTTGTTATAGAATGAAGGGATTTCTTGACAGTATCAGTAGTAAGATTTGTAGAACTAAGAATGTAATTGATCAAATATGAATCTTGTGACTTTTGTGCTAAACTAACGTATAATATTTGTTTCTTTTCTTTTTGTTTTTCATACTTTGTATTTGTCGTGACAAAGATCCAGTTCTTCAGTTTAGTTGCCATTTATTTATGGAAATTGTATGTATGAGGAGACCGAAAATTTCACGTCTTTCCTACTTGTACTAGTTCTTTATATTAATGAATGAGAAAATGGTAGTACAATTCATGATGTCAAAACCTAGACAACGCCTAGGTCAATAAAACGAAACCAACCTCCATTGTGACATCTCCAAATTAATCAGCCCAAAGTCAAACTACTCAGGAACAAAGGGATGTATTGGCCTACAACACTTTGATCCTTGAGTTAGGTAAAACTTTAGTTAGGTGGAGAAATAAGATGGACAGAATTTTGTCTAAATAAATGTTTGAAAACATTCATTGAACTTTGTATTGGTCTTTTATTTGAAGCAAAATGAGTGCGACAGACATTATGATGTTGTTCCACATATCTCTTTGTGCACTTGTCACTATGATGTTGTCTGCGCTCTCTTTATTAAGCTTATTGCACCAACGTTTCCGTTTCTTGTACGGTAACTATCAAAGGCTCTACCACAATCATTAATTGCACATTGTGCTCCAATTTTAGCAAGTTACTCTATTATACGCCCTTAATCATATAATTCATGCGTAGGAAAATGAATAAACATTTAGGGTCCATTTAATTGAAATAGTGGAATTTGGGTGAAAAGAAAATGAATTATATGAAATTGAATTGCCTAGAATTATTTTTCTGGGAATTGTTAATTAATTGTGTTTGATTGGTATAATTTTCCACCTGGAAAATGTTGAAATTTTGGATCTTTTGGTGTTCGTTTGACTTTGTTTTCCATGGAAATAGTCAATTAAAGGAATTTTTTTTTTTTTTTTTNGGGAAAACTAATTCAATGAAAACATGGAAATATTTTGCCGAGAAAAATTTGGCTATCAAACAATATAAAAGTTGGAACTTGAAAAATAACCTTAGAGCATGTTCGATTGACATGGAAAGAGAGTATTTTTCTTATTTTGGGTAAAACAAAAATCTACTTCTCCCAAAGAAAATGTTTTCCTTAAAAAAAAGGAAAATTATGCATATTTTTAAAAGTTGGAAAATATATTTCATAAAAAAACACCAATCAAACACTTCAAAGTAGGAATATGAGCGGAAAACTGACATTTTTCATGAAAAATAAATGCAATCAAACACACCCTTAGAGAAGTGTATTTTGTTGACCATTTTATCTAAAGGTACGCTTTGTTAACCATTGATAGAGTTGAGCTGACAGTGTTAAAAGAACCATTTGGTGAACTCAAGGTAGCATATTCAAGATCACATCGTCAAGTCTCTTAGGCCATCGAATTATCCTAATCCGCGTGGATTGACAAGTTCAAACATTTGTTAAATCAGTCTATAGTATAGCATCATGTTTTGTACGAAACTCTTTAACATGAAGCCCCTGTTTGACACCAATTCTTATCTCATTCTCATTTTTTTCTCCATTTCAACCACACATTCTCCAAAAAAAAATAGTATTACACACAAATTTAAAATTTTTCATCACTTTTCCACTACACATTCTCCCATCAATTACTATTCTAAAAATTCTATTATCATTTTAATGAGATTCAAACACAAGCTAAGTTCCCGGAGTTGAGGATTAAATTAAAAGTACTTCACTTTCTATTCCTTTGTTGAGTAAATGTTATTTTTGTCCAAATATTATAAGGTTTAAATCCAATTTCATTATCAAAATTCATATCTTTGCTATAAAACTTAAAAGAAAAAGACCAGCATAGAAATAAAAGCACGAATCTGATTAATCTTTAAACAATAAAGGTTAAAGAAGTTTTCACTTTAGAATCAATTAAAGAAGAGCATTGGCCTAAAAATATTGATATATGGGAACCATCAGTCTAATTAATTAGACAATAATACGTTTCTTGAAGACCACAAGCTTTATGAGAATAATACTCTCTTGAAAACGTATTCCAGGTCCAAACATATAAAGTTCACGTTTGGCAAAGCTTAAAATGTTTACTAATATGTAATTAATTAAGTTAAAAAAAAAAATTATTTGTCAGAATCGAACACAAGTTACTTATTTTAAAAGAGACTATTATCTTATCGTCAAAAGAACTTTGAGAAATACAATATATATCTAAACACGTTTAGAGACTAAAATTTTAAAAGCAATCGTAACTTACTTTTAACTCAACTTTTCATCAAAACACGTAGGTAAAAATTCAAGTGTCGAAAAAATCGAAGTTTATGGACTCAGATAACCAGATGCTCATCTAATTTGCTAATTTTTTGTAACACATAATTCAGATAGAATGATTTTCCAAGAAAGAGACGATTAAACATTGAACCCATGACAGATTGTTACATCATCATGGAAGTGCCAAATTAACTATCAGAAATAAAGTTTGTAACTTTAGAATCCTCAAAGAAAGATACAAATAATTAGGTTTTCTTTGAAAATGACGAGTCTTTAAAAGTAGTAGGCAGAAAATCAGTCAGTCTTTTCAGTTTCTTCTTGCCCTCTTAAATCCAAATCCAAATCCTTTCTGGATAACTGATACTGCTAGTGCTTGTCTTTGTCAAAAGTCAACATAGGCGACATGACCTTGAGCTTCGTTCCCATGAAATCAATGAACAGTCGCAGTATTCAAAAAATTAAGTAGCACTACCACTAGGATTAATATTTATTCATACGTCGCGTAAGAAGAATGAGTTATGCTACATGTACAAAATAAGTTATAAAGTTGGTTGATAAAATAACATCTACACCAATCATTTTAAAAATAGATTTTTAAATCATTTGAAATCAACGGTCTGAACTTTGCCAACACACTTTGTAACCCAACTTTTATAACTCAACTTTGTACAAATAACTTTATTGAAGGAGAATTGAAAGTATTACAGGAGATACGTTAAGATTTTAAGTTCTATTTTAAAAGATTAATCTTATTAAGAGAAATTGTCTAAATTCTTATAAATTGGTCTATGTTTTTTTTATCTTTATTCGATGTGAAATTGTATTCCTTAACATGCACCTGCAAGATGGTGGCTTGTTTGAGCAGACCAATCTTGAAATTCACTTGCTCCTTTTTTTTTGAGTCTTGATCGGATTGGATTGCTCGTTGGAGCTTGACGGGCTCTGATACCATGTTACGATTTTGGGGTTCTATTTTAAAATGTCAACCTTATTAAGAGAAGTTGTCAAAACTCTTATAAATTGGTATATGTTTTTCATCTTTATTAGATGTGAGATTTATCCTTAACAAGATATTTATTTTATTTCAGAATTAAGAAGTGAGCGGAAGTTTTGTGTAAAAAGAAAGAAAAATAGGTGAGTTTCAAAAGCTCCGAGTAGAAAGTAGTCAAAAGTGGTATTTTCATCTCAAAGACTGATCACACTCGCTTTTGGTTGCTTCATTGAGGTAGAAATACTTTAGCAAATATCATTTATTTCAATACATGCCCTAAATTGAGAATTCATTTTCTCGATTGGTATACGATAAATAACCCACAAATTAATTGCTCTATTTCTTCTCGAGAAAAGAAAATAAACTAGAAAATAATTCTGCAAAAATGTATGTCAAGTAGAGGTGGGCTGCTTTTTCATAAAAAAGAAAATGTGTTGGACCCCGTGGTCTACGATGTAGTGTTGGACCATTGTTTTTTCCTAGAATTAAATAAAAAAGAAAGTTCTGTACGTCATTTTACACCTGTTTTTAAAGTATTTCATGTATCTATTTAGGCACTAATTTCTAAATCGAGTTTTCCAACCTCTAAATGCCTTTCAAAAGAAAAGCATGATAATCTGAACATAATCTAGAAATCGTTAGTTGATTACTAGCTAGGGAAATGTATAGCCTTATGGGAAAGAGAAGAAAAGAGAAAAAGCCAGAGGCTGCAAATGTAACTCTCTCTCTAAGGTTTAAATATTGCTCTGAAGTAACTATTTCTATATGTACATTCATATTATTTTGTCAAGGCAGTACAACTTTTTCTCATTGCAGGGCAATAAAGATTATCCAAGACCAATTCCCATGCTAAACACACAAAAAAGAGAGAGGTGTGGTGTTTACAAAAGGTTGGAGGGTGGGAATGGAGACAAAGTTTCCACACATTGAACTGCTGCAGTGTTTCTTTAATAAAAGAAAAAGGTTGAAATGGGTGTTTTAAAGGTCATCACACTACATACACAGAGCTTTTTTTCTTTCCATTACGAGTAATTTTTGCATGAAAGTAAGGGAAGTCTTGGATCTCAAACTCATATCAATCAGCATATAATTAGAATCCCTCTCCTTTCTCTTTCAAGGATCAAAGCCTTGGATCCCTCAATCATCAGATTCGCATTATTGTGGATTTTTATACACACAGAGAGAGAAAAGAGAGAGAGACACACAGAGAGAGAAGGGATTGTGGGACTGATGAAAAGAATAATGCCCAAGATAGGGTGATGACTTGGTCAAAAAGTAAGAACATTAAAGTTAACGAGAATGTTTTTTTTAATGAATTTTTGGATATGGTTATTATACTGTTTTCAAGGTTGGAATTGGGTTTCGGATATGGATTAAATTAATTGTACAATCATTTTGTACTTTCACACTATATGATGGGTAAAAATTGTGAACATTGATTTAAATAACACTTATTCAAATCAATGATCAAACTAGTTTTCACATCATTAGATGTCAATAAAAATGTCAACCAAAATGTATATGTAGCAGGCTTGTTCGGATATATACCATTGTTTATTCAATCATGCTACATGTATATAATCATTCACACAATCTTTTACACCCCCTCACATGGAGGGGGTCCCACACACAATAAAATATTCATGCACACTATTCATGTGAGACAGATGTACGTACACTTGGTGTACAAACAGCTTTATCCTTGTTCATTTCCATGCAAATCCAATGTACCTGTCCATCCGTCCCACAAAAATAAACTTATTCCTATTTATTAAAATTAAAATGGAGCTCAAGCAGGAGTTAAATAGGAGCATGTTAAAAAAAGAAAAAAAAAACTACGATACTCTCAACAAGAAAATGACCTATAATTTGGGACAAAAGAAAAAGAAAAGTAAATCTATCCTTTATGGAGGGATGTAATAAATTAATTGAAAATTAAATAGGGTAAAATTCTTCATGTGGGTTCCAACTTTTCGCGAGTGTTTAGTCATGTCCCCAGTATTTTAACAGTGCATGCTACTCTCTCCTGATGTAATAGTCTATTTAGATTTTAAATGACCATATAATACGCACGTGAAATGATAAAATTGTTCAAAAAAGAATAACATCGAATGTAATTAGTAACGTCTCCATTTAATTTTTGAAATAAAGGAAACATTTTAATAATTTTGCATTTTTAGCTAGACATCATGTACATATGTAGATGTTTTCAGTAAGGTGAAGGTTTTAAAAATTTGGAAATATGGGTTTTTTGAAATGAAACAACATAGTTGCCATACTTATGAAAGGTTTGAAATAGTTAATTTTAGAACCAGTAATTTGCATTTCCTGCAAGAATATTAAGGCTTCCAAGCAGAATAGAGGAATTATTGTCATGTTTTGCACTGCTAAAAGCCCTTTTTTCTGGGCAGCACGCAGCAAATGCTCTGTGTCTAAATAAGCACCTAAAAACATGCCTTAGCGAGTCGAATAGTAAGATACTTGAACCTCATTATACTTTCTCCATCAAGAAAACAAGCAATCTATGAATAAGCTTCTCTACAACTCAGTATATTACAATGTGCATGCAGTCAAGCATTAAACCACCTTAACAGGCAAAGGAAGTAACATCATGTACAAGAAAGTGACCCCATAGTCGTCTAATAAAAGACTAAAGTTCAAGGCCTGTAAACCCCATTGCATAGATCAGCATTGGATAGGCTGTCTACCTCTTGGGGTCATTTAAGGTCTTACCCTCGAAAAATTCACCAAGCATATGTTCGAGATCCTCTGGATTGTATCTGATGTACTTCTGCGGGTTCTTGCCATTCTCAACCAAAGGCCTGAAACATATGTCAAAAATCCAAATTCGTTTCACCAGAATATAGTTGTATTACATGAGGTGAGGATGATGTCAACAAGAAACTGACTCCAAAATTCATTTACTGCAAACTAGAAATACTATGCCACAATGTAGAATTATTATCCTAAGCCTTTGAAGTCATAAAAATGTAATACGCAAGATATGGGCTCCATAGTTTCATTTCGGATTCTTTTCAAGAGTAACTTATACGAATATATAGTGGGGAAATTACAGCATTGGTTCCCAACCTATTGGCCTTGTAGCAAGTTGGTCTCCTACCTTCTGTGATATTTGCAAGATAAGGCTTCAAACTTAACCTAATAATCACTTCCAAAGAATGGAATGATTATAGGATCAAGAAGGCCATAAATCAATTCCAATGAAGAAAACCATCCAAATATTTTTGAACTTGTGTAGCCCTCACATGTCCAACTTTATAAAAAACTAAGTTTTGTTTCCCAACTTGAGCTAGTTCCTAGAAATTTGAAGTGGGGAATGATTCTATGAGGGACACACTCACATATTAACAAGAGTAGGACGGTATCTATAGCTGGAGATTGATTGTACATGTATAATGAAAAGGTTGAGTCCACCAACTTGCATCTGGGGCAATAGTATGAGGATCAACCATACAATTTTCCGATAAATATATATAGGAATAGAAGGATAACATCAGAATTCATGCAGAAATGTTATGAATTTTTTTTACCAATAATAAGAGAATGTACCCGAAGCGTTTAATGAAAGATCGGTAAGCTGGAAGCAAGACTTCAGCAACTGCAAGCCTCAGGGATTCTCTTAACTCAGTGTCAGGAACTGTCCATTGAGATTGTCTTTGATGGAGTTCCTCAAATTGCATATTAAATGTCTTCAATCTAGCAATAAAATACAAAAAGTTCAGTCAAATCACATTCTAAGTCAGGTTATACAACTCAACGAGCAAAGATTGTTCTCCAGGAAATTACAACTCCAACACACCTGTCTTTGATAATTGCTCTTGAAACTCCGCTACTATTTCCTCCATCCATGCTACCAACACTGCCGCCTCCAGAAGATGTCAAGCCTTGAACAGAGAGGCACTGCAGAATCTGCAGAAGGAAATGCAAAATAATTTTATGTACAATTTTATAAACAGGCAAAGGAGACTTTATACAACAGACGGTGTTCCATTCTTCACTATTTTCAACTAATGGGGGGAAAAAAACTTCCTGGTCTAGCAGAGAGCAAGAGATAGGGTAAAAACTGTATTGGTAATTGATAGATTGCATGTGGCTTTTTAATACAGATTACTGCTCCAATTATGATATTCCAATGTTAGAACAAACTTAAATATCGCGATTCTCATTAACTATTTCCTTCTAAATGGATTTGTAAAACAGTCATACTAAAAAGTTTACCAGCACCTGCCATTAAAAATAAATAACACTCAGTACATTACATAACTATTCAATTTTTACTTACAAGGAAACTAGTCCCAAGCACTACAATCACTAATTATATCGAGGTATAGAAGGAAGCATAAATGTCGAAGAGTATATCTGCATTAAGATGGGAAAAGCCGACGAATGTTCCAATTCCATTCCAGGATGAAACTATTATATTGGACACACAAACTTGGGTAGTGATTCTAGTGTGCTTAATGTGTGCCTGGTGAATGCAAGTCTACATGCTTATATACACATTAAGAGTATGCTGAGCTAATCTTAGAAAGAAATTAAACTTACTTTTTTGTTTCTAAATATGTTAGGATATGTTAATTTTTTCATATTTTTAACCAAAAAATAATTATTTTGATCCAAACTCTCAAAATAACTTCTTCTTTTCAGCTTTGTCCAATAAAATGAATTATCTATTTAAAACTTATTTACTTAGCCCTTGTTTGAGCCCCATTTTATAAAAAATTCATTTTTTCAAAACTCATTTTTAACAAAACATTCTCCAATAAAATAATATTACACGTAACTTTTTCTTCATTTTTAACCACACATTCTCCAAAAATCACTATTCAAAAATGCATTTTTCTCTCAAAATGAGACTCAAACAAGGCCTTATTAAGTAAACTATATAATCTTAGCCAAAAACATGCTCCAAGTCTTGAGAAGTGAATTCAATGCATCAACTATATATTTGCTATTTATAGCTTCCTATTACTACAGCGCAAAACAATACTAACCACACATCTAGTAGAAATCACTTCAGGAATTTATGATCTTCACAGGTGGCATTAATTGCAGGCGCAGCAATAGATCACAAATTCTTAGTTAACTGTGCGCATAATATGGGGAGAGTAAAGCAGTACCTTTGCCCAAGCAATCCTCTTATATTGATTCGCATGTTGCTGTACAACTCTCCGATGTCTTTGTACCCAATCATCGCCTAACAAATCTTTGGCTTCAGACCTAAAGGCAATACATATATAAGAAACAAATTTGACGATCACAAAAATCGACTTGATGTTTCAACAATTCATAAAAATGTTATAACCTGCGGACAGATCTGACCATATAATGGATGTTATTCATGAGAAACAAATGGGTCAGAGAGGGATCCTTATATTGCTTAGATTTTCCATCCAAATTGGTCTGAAGAGCCTGCATTATACGCATTGTAACGGCAGCTAGCTGAGAATTTGAGTCATCTCCATTTTCGAATTCACGGAAAAGTTGCTTCAATGTTGATTGATAGCTGGAGCACAACAAAAAGACATTTTCAGTTGGTAGTACATAAATATAGATACACTCACAAACGTAGATCATAGACATACAATCAGCATAATAAATGTATTTTTTTCCAGGTATTTTGCTGAATTAAAAAATTATGTCACACAAATCAAAATCGTTCAAAGCAGAAAAATTTAGACAAGTTATTACAGTATATTATTATTTATCTAGACCAAAAGATTTTGATTAAATGGAAAGTTCAGATTGATGGACATCCTGCAAGATGTAATATGTAATATGCAATAAAAATAATAATTGAAGTGTTTATTGCGTTCCTTGTATCTAAGACTCTAAATTTTTTTTGATAGGTTATCTAAGACTCTAAATAAGAAGATACATATCTTCACTCTTGAAGTTTAAGTATGCAAAATGCTTTAGAGGTAAAAAAAAATACATAGAAAAAATTCATTAGGAGTAGATATACATATTTTAAGATCATTTATTATATTTGACCATAATTTGATTTATTACTGTGAGTTAAATAATTAAAGATTTAGGATGGGGACAGTGCCAAATCCCCCTTCAAAGTTAGGATAGGAGATTCTAAATTGTTTAGACAAACAAAGGTAAACTTTTGTTTTTGAATAACAATTAAGGGAACAAGGCAAAATTATCGAAGTAAGAAAAGATCTAAGAACTCAGACATTAAAATCTCTACAGGTTTTCTATTCCAATTAACATTTTAAAACGATGCACTAATCCACTGTCCTCAAATTTTAATAACGATAGTGACCAAGTAACACATTTTCTTGTAAAGCCTACAAATCTTAGAAAAAAATTGTTTCTCGCTAATTTATTCTGGAAGTTTCTTTAACATCAATCAAAAGGAGAAAAAAAATACTGAAAGTCCACAATGTTCAGGAAAATCCCTTTACAGGGATTGCGTTCCATCCAGCAGCAGGGGACCCACATAACTAATTTATATGCCTAGGTTTAGGATGATGGAAGGAAGAAATTTTCACTCAAATAGACCTACCGACGCAGGAATGCATAATTTGATAACGAACAAAACAAAGAAATGAACGAAAGGGGTGCAACAAAGAGAAGAGATTAGGGCAAGAGGAAAATCAGTTTTTATTTATATAATCAAGGGTTAACAATTATATTGAATAAGCCCCTCTATTTATAGAGCAAATAAACTAGAAAGAAAATAAAAAGTAGATGAACTTCTAATAAATTATAATTGTATCAAAATATCAAAACTAATATTATCTAATCCATTTCATTATAAGTTAATCAAAACTTCACATTCAAGAATGCATTTCATTATTCTCGTCCATGTATGATAATTAACATCTAGTTTTACTTGATTTTAAATTAAATAAATGATTTAATATTCATTGTCATGTATATATTTCACGATATTAATTCTAAATTAATTAAACTTTACGCATATTCAAATATTATTTTTATAGTACTTTTAAAGTTTTTCATAATAACGTGCAACGCACGTTCAATGTTGACTAGTCGAATTAAATATACTTTAAATCAAACTTTACTTAAAATCACAACTAAAATCTATTTCTATCTTTATTCTTATCTTGATCTCCATCACCTACTATCCTCTTACCAGTTCTGTTGCTGAAACTGCTATTTACTGTTAACAAACAAACTTTTACTATATATAAAAGCTAAATAACAAGAGAAGAAGATTCTGTATGAATGGAATACATAAATGAAAAATATCTAATTCATATGCTTATTTTGTCCAATTCAATATATATTAGAAATATATCACCGATCATAGTTTCCACTTTCTTTTTCAGTCCTATATGTTGAGAAGTAATAGAATTGCAATCATACATGAGAAAAATGTAAGAATTCAAATAATAGAAGCATAACTAAATAGTAATCTATTTGCAACCTGATTAAATCATTGAACACTCTCTGTGAGAAATTAGTTATACATAACTGTTTACTGTTATGTTGACTTGCAGTAAGCTTTGGATTACAACTTCGGAAAATGATTATATAAGGCAAAGGTATTTTTATGTTGACTTCTAATGTAGTTCCAAATTAATATTTAAAAGGCAGGGTTTTAGAGTTAGTTGACATACTCAAACAGGAATTTCACGTAGTTAATCACATAGCTTGTCAAAGGATGAACTGTTCCATCTGCAACGGCAGTTTTAGTCGCATCTTTTTCAACTGCTTCTTCGAAGTCTCCAAAAGTCTCTTGCGCTGTCTGTGCAAGCCTCTTTGTCAAACCCAAGGCTGACAATCTGATTTCATTACAAGGTTGACCTCTAAAAAGTGATTCAATCTGCCAAATTTCAGCTTTACAGTTTCAATGAGCATTCCTTTGAGTCACTTGGTAATGTTATCAAAGCATAAGTTCATCTAAAGCATAATGCATTTTCAGATTGACACTGAACTATATAAAGAGTATAATAAATACCTGATTATATATGGACACATGGAGAAATTTGGAAGAGAACAATCTGAAGAAATATTTTCTTTAAAAGCAAGCTAAAGACTTCTTAGAACTAAAAAAAGATTTTCCACCCTCATAGTTCTCTCATCATACATGAGGAAGTTACAGCTCGAAAGAAAATGTCCAATACCTCCGAGTGAATTTCTCTCATTATTTCATACATATCGAGAAGCACAAATAACTTTTCAGGGGATCTTTTGCTTTTGGCAATTGCATCTCCAAAACTGAGTAGCACTGCCACACTCCCTGCGGTAACTTCAGCAAAGCATTGATCCATGAGGGGATCGAAGCCTTCAAAAATTTGATCACAAACTTTGCGTTCTCCAGCAAACAGCAACTTGACCTGTTAGAAAATAATTAAATTCTAAAAAAACTAGTTCGTTCATCTCTGCATGAGCATTACAGAGAAAACATACAGCAATCCGCATAAAATGGATCCAATTCCCGATCTTAGCTTCCAAAACTTCCCATTGCATCTTTTGAACATCATCTTTGCTAAGCTTTTCTACTCCCAATTTGCGAAGGCTTTCTTCTAAAACTGGAGAACGAGCTTCCCTAAATGAAAAAACAAACAAAATAAAAGGATAATATGAGATGAATACATTTAGCCCCCGTTTGGTTTGGATTAAAGTCCAATTAAAATCTCAAGTCAAAGTCAACAATTAATTTTATCTACACATTTCATGGACTCACAACTTTTCAACCACATTTCATCAGCTTTTATAAAAATCTACTAAAAATCTGATTTTAATCTCTATCAAACAAGAGCTTCATAAGTTGCAGATGGTTCTAATTTGGTTTCTTAGAACATGTTCATTACTTATTGTTTGATCTACCAGTTTGAGACCATTGCAAAATAAAAGGAGATCTGAGAATCCAATGAAATACTGCAGCCTAACAATGTGATCAAGTGATTTTCTCATACTTCCAGAACACTCAGTTGTTTAACCAAACGCCAATATTATAGAAAAATGTTAAAAGTGGTACATCACCAATTATATCAGAGGGGCAAGAAACTAAACCTATTGTCTTTCAGTTCTCTCTTCTGACATGCTCATGACTGAAAGAATAGTTTATGTAGCCAAATCTGGTACTCACCTGTATATTATGAGTAACTGCTGCTGATTACCAGCCTCAACCATCTGTAGTGCTAAATCATGCAACAAAGGCAGTATCCGGGGTGGAATAAGAGTTGGTGTTGTGTATGCAGAATTTTCTTCACTATTTTGATGATCAGAGTGACTGTGGGACGATGGTATCTTGCCACTGGAATCGGCCTGATCTCCCGGTGATCCAGATGATGGACGCATAGAATTGGGAAGGCACTCAAAAAGTCGTTCAGGCTCAACAGGTTTGCTGCATAAGCAGGAATTTAGTTTAACATGCAAACAGCGAACACCAAATAAAGGTGGGAGTATCATGCATCTTGGTTCATATACAATATATGAGAATAGATGACAAGCATCCTGCATAAAGTAGTAAATTAGTAATAAGTCTAAAAAGAAAAGGAAAAGTTAACAAAGTCTACTTTCAAAATAAATATTGAAAGTTTGAAACTAGACGATGCAAATTTCCTAGATGATGTGCCAGGGTTATTGTGAACATAAAAGGCCTAAGAATTTGTAAGGTGGTTGTATGGTTTTCATTATATCCTTTGCATGATCTACCACTTTGTTAGTTAGTCAAAAAATTTGATCATTTAAGTATAAATATAATATAAGTTTTGTTGCCTGCCTATGGAACTCAGACACAAAATATGTTAAAAAAGGATGCGATATCATTTAATATTCTAAAACAACTACAAAGAAAGCAATATATGAAGTGTAAAACCCTAGACTGCGTAAAAAAGACCTAGACATAAAATCCTAACAACGTAAAAGATAAAACTACCTGAGATAAAAAAATCTAAATAACAAATATATCTGATGCCCCTCGTCAAACTCATCGTGTATGACTTCATGTGTCTGCTAAAACTAAATTGACTGAATAACGCAAGATTTGCATTCTTCCGTAACAAATCACAAAGAAGTGAAGGCAAATTTACAGAGTGGATCTATAGTTACAATGAAATGGCAAATGAATTTCATTTGTTGGGTTGTTGGCAAATGGTAGCAGGCGAGGTGAAGGAGGCAGTAAGACCTAACAATATTCAATCTGTATAGTTCATCTTTCCTTACCCCCTTTTTTTTCTTTGACATTTTCTTGTTAATTGGTTTAAAATGGCCATTATTTCCTTGATTTAGGGCTTGTGTGGAAGTGATTCTTTAAAAAGTGATTTTTTATTTTATTTTATTTTATTTTTGGTGAATGTGTGGTTAAAAAGTTGGGAAATGTTATCGGGAAACATGAAAAATGATTTCATGTGAATGTGTATTTGAAAATGAATAGGGGAAAAGTGGCTTTCAAATATTTCAAATAAGGGCTTAATGACATGGATGCGTCAATATCAGTTAAAAAATTGTGAGCACAATGCTAATGTACTACCTACACACAGAAGGTTAGCAGACACACACACACACACATATAGCACAAGACTTTGTCGAGCCAGGTGACCTACTACCATAAAATTATGTGCATGAAAAATGTTTAGTCCAAGAAAATTTTCTACTTTAAAACAATGGTATGGCAACAAGATAATAAGTTCTCGTACAAAGAAAGTACAACATACCTGTATGATGACAAAATCTGATTAAATTCTTCTTCCAGCTTGGAAATAGCCTTGGCTAGTAAATTATTTGTATGGTTGAGCACTCCATCACTACTTCTAAAGCTTTTGTTGTCACTAAAAAATCGAATGTTGTTTCTTAGTTGCTCAATTGCTTGAAGATAGCTTTCTAGGTCCTCATGTGGTCCTTTAAGTATTTTAGCTTCAGCCTACAGAAAACAAATAAAACAAACATATCAAGAAAACAAATCTGGGAGGCTCCGGAACAGTGGCAGCAGGTTGGGGAAACTTAACCCTTAACCCAAATAATGAGAATTTCATAATAATAGAGGATTGAATCAGATTAACTTATAAGCAGTAAACATACATTCTACCTTAAATAGCTACCTCCCTTGGTAACAGATAAGTTTTTAAATCCTTTTGTGTTATCCCAAAAATTAGTTAGTTATTTCTTCCAGTCAGCTCACCCTTAATGATATTACTATTGTATATAGAATCATCAATCCTTTACATTTTATATCAACTGGCATTCTATAGAGGAGAGAGACTATAAATTGAGGATGACTTGTGCAATGACTAAAACTTTGTCATTACACCAAGAAATAATCCCACAATGCATTGATTATAGCAATCGTGTCCTAGATGCTTTTTTCCAAACTTAAGGCTTTCAAAACCCGCCAATAAGTTTGCATACCTATTAGGATTCATAAACCTTTTTTCTTTCCACCCAATAGAACTTCAAATGTAGTATGTCATGGGCCTTTCCTTATATTCTATTGCTGATTCTGATAACATAAAATTGATCATGGGCAGAGACTCGAAGTGCGAGACTCATTGCATCAAAAGAAGTGTCATAGCTGACCATGCCCAGCCCAGAAAACAGTTAACTCCTGGGGGTCGCAAAAGTTTATTTTAAAGGCACAACAAGATCTTGTCATAGGAACAGAACATTAACAACCTTTACGTTGTGTCTTTACACTATAAATATATGCCAAAATACTTAAAAATGTTCAACTATCATATGAGTAATTTTACATTCCAAAGAGAATATCAACTATTTGTTATTAATTTTTCTAGACTATATAGTACATACACCTATAGAAAATTACAATGCATTGTTACGTTGATGCATTATACGTTAATTTAATGTCTGACAAATTAAGTACAATTATGATAATTCTTCAAAGTTTCGTTGAGGAGTATACCAAGTTATTATCTAAATTTTATGCTTCTCGATATACACATACCACACAAGTTTAGATTTAATAACACACACATGTTTAGATTTAGTAAGCCCCTGTTTGATCTACATTCTTCCCAAAATTCATTATTTCAAAACTTATTTTCAACAACACATTTTAAAATAATATTACACGCAAATCCAAATTTTTTCCTTATTTTTTAACCACATATTATCCATCATATCACATCACATCACATCATAAAATGCATTTTCTTCTCAATAATGTGTATCAAACACCCCCTAAGTTAACCATAAATATATTTACAGAGTGAAAAATATAAAATTGTTTGATGATACGAGTATACGAGTAATCTTATTAATTTATTTTGATCATTTGTTTAAAAATGTTTTTCGAGGCTTACGAGCGAATCCCTCCTCACCAAGGCTTTCATCAAATGCTTCAAAACTTACAGTCAAGTGCCATTTGGTGAGGCTCATACCCAAAGGATAAGTCACAGGGTGACTAAGGTGTTTGCCTTCTTGTCTTCCTTTTCATAGATATTTTTTTTGATAATCTTAGCTTCTTAGGGTATTTTTTAAGAACTCAATGTTTTATGGAATTTTTTTGTTTTTCTTCTATAGGGAAAGGAGAAGACACAAATGCAAGTAGAGGACAACACTGAGAATTAAATACGGAGATGATTCCCTTAAATATCCTACTAGTAGTTATGATATATGAGACTTCTAGATTGTTTCCATTTTTAGAAGTAAACTAAAGTTTTGTTATGTGATTACCAATTTGAGAAGTTATTTTTGCTGCTACTTTTATCTATTTATTGTTGTTTTGAAAGCTAGACTTTTAATTTAGTTAATTTGATTTATTATAGATCTTTAAGATGGTGTATGGTTTATCATGGGCATATTTTTGTATTTTTATTACATTCATTAAATTATTTCATTGGTTAGTCTTAAGACAAACGTATAACGACTTGTGCAGATGATCTTAATGAATTGAATTGAATAAATAACAAAAATGTAAAGGAAACGCCAGGAGAAAAATCACAATGGGACATTATCAAATATACTATTGCTCTTACATTCACATAACTTGAAAACTGAAGATTCTTAAATTAACAAACATGTATGTATGTGTACATATACAAGTCAGTTAACATCTTGACATCATGGTCACAAAAGATTTTTCATTTGATGATAGCCCAACTTATATAAAAAAAAAAAAAAAAACAAAAAAAAAAAAAACAAAAAAAATAAAGAAAAAAAAAAAACATAACATAAAAGAAAAAAAAAAAACTTATATAAAAAAAAAAAAAAAAGCACAAAACAAAGAAGCAAGAAAATATAGCATACAGTAAAAGCTAACCTGAACTGAAATATCAAATTGAGACAGTATGACTTCTGCGGCCTTCAACGTTTTATCGATGTTCTCATGAGCTTTCCGAATAGCATGTGTTCTGATCTATAAAAAGAAAATCTGAGTAAGAATCACAAAATTCTGAGAAGAGGCAATGCAAGTAAAGATCATAGTTCAAATCTCATAATTGTTTGTGAAGCAAAAGGATCAAAATTAATTTCAAAGTATGAACAAAGGTAAGTCGGAGCACTAAAACAGCCTGAAAATGAATATCTTAACCCTGTTTTGGCTTAATGATGTCAGTGAATAAAACTTAAGAAAGGCACAAAAAGCAGCTAAAGAAATCTGAATTTCGGTATCATTGCTTTTTTTTTTTTTTTGGATTTTTCTTTGAAGGTTCCTCGGTGTTATGAACCAACCAAAATACCAGAATCGCTCTAATTTCACTTTGTTGAGAATTGGGCCAAATAATTAAAGACAATAATTATAAGAGCAATATCAAAATAATGAATCACACAAGAACACAAGATGAACACAAGATTTATCTGAAAGAGAATGAGAATTTATTATGGCTCCGTTCGGGAGGGATTAAAATCTAATTAAAATTGAAAATATGGCCGTTATTGGGTCCCACTCGTCTAATAAAAGTCACCAATAACGGCTATATTTTCAATTTTAATCCGATTTTAATCCCTCCCATACAAGGCCTATATCAAGAAACTAAAATTGTCTTTACAAGATTTTATTCTCTCAATCAAAATCTCGACAATATTCTCAAGATTCTAATGCATACAAAAATGATCTAATTATTATCTTGAGTCTCTCTAAAGAGCTTATACCTTGTGGATTATTCATACGAGCCAAATCAGTAGAACCCAAAATCGCGTAAAAAACCAAACAGGGGTGAAATCCCCCCCCTCCCCGAACAGGTGGTGCCACTGGCCCGACGCTGGGATGCCGGCCGTTCTGCTTCCTTTCGTGCCGCAAGCGCAGCATTCCAGTGCCCCGAATCTCTCCCAATACGTTCCAAACATGTTTTTATTTATTCCAAAGTCATTTTCCAAATCAAATTCTCAATCCATGATGAAATTTGATCTTATCAAACCGGACTTCCAAAACAACATTATCTAAGTTTCCACCATACATCAAACTTCCAATTCAGGTGGAATTTGAGTCACAAAACAGAACACTTAGTTTTCTCAGTAACCATATTGGAAATTGAATAGTGATTACTAGAAAGTATAAACATAAAATCAAGTAGAAAACGGTGAAATCATCCTCTGATCAGCATGACTGATGATCTACAAATGGAAAATCTAATGCCAAAAGCTATTGATTGCCCATATCGAAATCCAAGTTTGCAGAAATGAAAAGCAGCAATACAGTAAACAAGACTTGATGAACTACAAGGATTCAGATCATAAATTTTTGCTCAGTCTCACATTTCAAGAATGGCAGTTATTTGATCAGCAACAACAAAAATTTAATCTTCTCTAGTATGAAATTGACATTTTTTTTCTTATAATATCCAAGGTAAAATTAAGCACATTGGCAAGTTCTTTTACACCAAACCCAACTCAAAAAAGCCTTTCTTCCTTTCTCACTCCCTGGTAATTTAGCATTAAATTGCCACCATATTGACAAAAAGAAGTAGTAACAGAAATCAGATCAAGAACCAGAACTTGGGTTTCTTTCTTTATTCAGCATCTTTTCAAGATTTCCATTGATTATCACATAGCAATCAGATAATTGAACTTGGCATAACATAAATCTAATATAAGAGCATGTTTTGGAAAAATTACTTGGGTGGGGCGCATGGCGGTTTCAAGTGCAGAGAGTCGGTGGTCAAAGGAGCCCAAAATGGATACCATTTTATCAGTGATTGATTCGCTCTTCTGCAGTGCCTCCCTCATCTTTGTTGCTCTTTCGCTCAGCATATCCGCTCCTCCCCCGCCGAAAGTTGCTGTTGCTGCTGTTCTGGCTGGAACTCCCATCTCTCCCTCTCTAAAATCTCTCCTGAAATCTACCGGTGTTTGATTTCGAATAGGACTGCTAGAGAGAGAGAGGATAAGAAGGAAGATAGTCAAAAGAAAAGAAAAAATGAGGGATAAATTGACCCATTGTCATCAATCATTTTATTTTATCATGTTTTTAACTTTATATTTAATATCATCACAATCATTCAATTTAATTTTATTTCACTATAGTCACCTAATTTTATACAACATTTCATATAACATTTCACCATGACTATTCAATTTCTTTTCATTATTTTCACTAATTTTAAAAGATGTAAAACGGTAACTTTATATTATATCTATAAAATAAATTAAAAAAACAAAAATAAAAGTTTTTTTAATTTTAAAACCTTTATTTTAAAATAAGTTTTATTTTTTTAAACGTTTTTTTAAAAAAAAAATTATTTTATTTTTTTCAAAGGAACATTTTTTTTGAAATAACTTTTAATTTTATTTTATTTTTCTAAGTAACTTTCTTTTTTAAAATAAGTTTTTATTTTATTTTAAAAATATTTTTTAATAAGTTTTTATTTTATTTTTCTAAGCAAAATTTTTTAAATAATTTATTTTTATTTTATTTTTTAAAATAACGTTTTGTTTAAATAAGTTTTATTTAATTTTTTATATATATATAATGCAAAGTTACCGTTTTACACATTTTTAAAATAATAAAAATATTAAAAAGAAATTGGGTAATCATTGTAAAATATTATATAAAATTTGATGATTATAGTAAAACGTTATATGAAATATTAGATGACCACGGTAAAATAAAATCAAATTAGGTGATTATGGTGACACTAAATATAAAGTTAAGTGATGATGGTGAAACAAAATCAAATTTGGTAGCCATGGTGATATCAAATATAAAGTTGAGTGACAATTAGTGGATTTAACCCAAAAATGAGGGATTTGGGAGGAAAATTAGTGTATTTAGGACAATTCATCAATATCTTGCAAGTCGGATGGCGGCTCAAAATTATTATTGGCGCTGAATTAGAAGTTATTAAAAGTGGTTTCATTATATTTATATTTATAATTATTATATATTTATTAACAACGCAATTCGAAGAATGACTTTTTTTTAACGTATAGTCACGATTGATGATAATTTTTTATTGTATCAAAACATAAAAAAAAAAAAAAAAAAAAATTAAAGTTGAATATTTTATAATTTTCTTAATTATAGAGAGAAATAAAAGAAAGGAGGGGTAAAGAAAAATAAAAATGATGAGGTGTGTGGGGCCTTGGGTTAGTTGATATTGGATGCTTTGACAGGGTGTGTCCTCGTAGGCACTGGATTCTCGTGGCCCGTCACTCTTTTCCGTTTCTATTCTTTTACAACATTTCAATAGTCAACTTTTGTTGAAATAAAAAGATAGTCAGCTTTTTACAATGATATAAAATTTCATTTTTTTTTTCTCATTTTCAAGTTTGTGCCTATATAAACAAAATAGAATGAAAATTAATTCTTCAATAAGTCATTGGAAAAAAAAAAAGAGTTAAGCTATTTGTACCACCTCATTTACCACTTGGTTTACAGATGAATGATGTGTCAGATGGATGCTGGTTGGATTAAATGTGTGAAATGTGAAAGGTAATGTGAGATTTTGTCAAGTGCAAATTTGGTAAACTAAGGTGTAAAGAAAGATGTACATGTAGCAAGATTGAAAAAAAAATTATTGACAAGCGTAAAATTCAAGTTGTCATTTACAAAACTAACCAAAGACAATGCTCCGAATTATAATTTCTTTTTTCATACTACTTTATTCTCGATGAAGAGACGAATGAATGGGAATTTGGGCTATTTGGTGATGAAATTAAACATGAGCAAGACATACAAACGTGTTGAAAATGGGTATAATTGATTCACGGATCATAGGGTTAAGATGTTCTTGTCAAGGACCTCGAATTATCCATCACTTCTTTGCCAACGATAGACTATAGCCTTGTGTCGAGCTACCCCCAAATGATTGCCAAGTTATTAAAGAAGTGATGGATATATATGAGTTGGCATCAAGCCAGCAAGTTAACATCATGAAATTTGTCATATATTTCAGTCTAAATGCTCCAGAGGAAACACAACGGTTGAATCTTGATTTTCTTTAAATGGAATGCATCTAACTCCACAACAAGTATGTGTTAAGTCACGATTAATCCTAGTCCAAAACGGACGTGGGTGAGATTCACGAAAAGTAAGCATGCAACTATACAATAATACATCTATAAAATAATAATGTTGGGATCCAAAAAAATTATTATTTTAGAGTGGTTATTAATTTATCGATAAATGAATAATTTATTAATTTATTGATAAATGAATATTTATTAATTTATAGACTATATATATATATTGAATGTGGTGAAGAGCCTGTTTGAACCTCAATTTTTTCTTGCCAAAAATGCATGTTGAAATAGTATTTTTGATGGAAAATGCGTGGTTAAAAAATAAGTAAAATTTTTGTATTTGCGTGAAATATTATTTTATTAAAAAATATGTGATTGAAAATAAGAGAAAAAAATGTATTTTAAAAAAAGGGGACCAAACAAAGGCGAAATTCTAAAATTTAACATGTAAGCACTCAGAAAGGCACACATATATACTTTAAAGAGGAAACACTAATGTATATACATTCATTTCAAAGTTTAATATCTTTGAATATTAATCGTTCAAGTTTAGTATGTGCATTGAAAAAATTAGGGATGCAGTTGATTTGACTTGGGTGCAAAGAAAACACAAGACTTTAGATGCGTATTTTGAAAAAGAAGCAAATTGAAAAAAATTGTTATCAAATTAAAAGTTTGTTAATTTATATTTTATGAACTTAGCAAATATTATTTTATATATTCGTCGAACCCTAAAGGATCTCAAATTTTTTTTTTATCATTTTTTGTATTTAGCAGGGTTATTAGTTTAGTAGATTGGCCTAATTCGGGATCGAAAATTTTTATTAATTAAATAAACAAGATTATTAATTTATGAAACATTCATTTATCAAAGTTTTAATGTAAATACAATTTACGGTCATATTAAACTAATCAAAGGTCACAATCATTAAAAAATTCACAATTATAATCTATTTCAATAATGCGTTGTGCAAAAATTTCCATTCCAAGGTGGAGAAAAAGAAGATGATCACTAGTTGTACGATAACATTATGTCAGTTAAGTAAGATTATTGAAATCCTTATCGTAGACCGAATTCAATCCTATTTCTTCCGACTTTCAAATTTTTGAATTTTGTAGTAATCGGCAATGGAACATTTGTTTGTGTTTCATAAAATGTGCGATGTGTATTGGCATGTGACAAGGGCATAAAAACCAATCATTCGTTAATTTTTAACGTTCAAGTTAAAATATTAAATTGGTTTTTACTACGATATAATGGACAAAATGACCTAATTTACAAATAAATAAAATTTGAGCCACCTGATTGTACTAAATTAATACAATTGACAAACAAATCAGATTTCGGTGACCTAATTGTAGCAAACTGTCAGTGACCTGGGTGCATTGCATTTAGGCTTAAATTAAATTGACACGTTATCATTAAATATATAGTTATTTCAATTTTTTTCTGTTAAAATAAACATTAAATCAATAAGGTTACCAAAGAAAAGTTGTATAGCCAACACTAAATTTATTAAAAATCAATATATTAATTTAGTCATCTTGGACTTTTGTTTGAGCCCCATTTTTGTCAAAAAAGGCATTTTTGAGTAGTGTATTTATGGGAAATGTGTGGTTATAAAATAAGAAAAATTTTTGATTTTACGTGTAATATTATTTTATTGAAAAATGTGTGGTTGAAATGAGATCAAAATACTATTCAAAAATGCATTTTTTTTTTCAAACAATGGGACCCGAACAAGGGCTTATGCTCACGTCAATTTAGTGTGGTTTTAATATTCATGGAAGCACGTCAAGCTTCATGTGTTTTTCCATGTTTATTTGATTTCTCGCAATTATTGTATTCTTGATTACTTTGACTATATCAAAAAAAAAAAAAAAAAGGTTGAACTCCAACCTTAAGGGTCTCCCCCCACCCCGCCCCTCCAGCATTGTGGAGAGGTAAATCGCGGGAATGTGTATCAGCAGGTCATGGTACAAAAGCTGTCATACTGTACCCACAAAGAGTCCAATTTAATACCTTATAAGAGGCGAGAATCGAATTCTCACAATGCGGCTGTCAACTCAGTTGAGTCTACCTCACTCTTGTCATTTGTACCATTGAATTATGTCCCGAAGGGCTATTTTGACTATATTGCTTTGAGGCTAAATGGTTCTAATGGATAGGAGAAGCTTGAGGCATGAGAAAAAATCTGTATATATAGAGAATGCATGGAAAACAGTAGTCAACTATTTTTTTACCGCCTAAGGTGGCCTTGTGCACCAAAAAGGAGGGCTTAGGACTTAGGAGCCAAAAGGAGTGCGGTTTTTTTTTTTTTTTATCCCCAAAATATTTTTAGGGTTAAATAAATTAATAATTATCAGTCTTTTTAAAATAATTATAAATTGTTTTAGAATAATTAAAGTAACATTAAAAATAAAAAAAATACCTTATTATGTCTAAACTTTACGCACGCACGTACAGACTCGTAAGGCTTAAGAATTTTCATTGCCGCTTCCCCTACATCTTTTAAGCCATTGAATTATTTGACAACGTGAGTATAGAATGATTTTCTTTACGTTACTCTTAATATGGGATGCTATGACTTGTTTGCTAGTCGAACAATGAAAGTGAATTAAATTGATATGCTGTCATTATTAAAGATTTAGTTACTTCAAAGTTTTTCTTTTAACAATAACTCAATAAAGTCATGAAAAATTGTTTGTCTGGCCTACTTCAAATTGTTTGAAAATCACTATACAAAATTAGCTTCTTAAGCTCTCGCTGATATACGTGCGATTTTATTCATGGTAGTGCGTCAAACTTCATTTTTTTTTTCGTGGTTCTAGTTCTTGTGAATTATGTG